GGATAGTCCTACACAGTATTTGAGCATGTGTTCCTGGTAAGTTTTTAGAGCCAGTTTACGTGTTATGTTGACACTACTCTGTATGGATTTGGGAGTTGGAGATAATTGTTAAAATTTTATTATATTTAAATAGGATGTAATTTACATTAAAAACAAAGGTAATAAGTACTCAAACCCCATTACTTGCTAATCATTTTACTGCATTTTAATATTATTTGTGTTCTTAAGGTTAGTTACACATATTGTATGGTAGAATGTTATATAATGGTGTACTATTGCTCATCTCTTCCCATTCCTCATTCAGTAACAGCAAGCTGGTATATTAAAATTGACTATGATGGGAATATTTATACCAAGGAAATTAGCAAATTTTTCTTTCCCCTTGGTTTACTAAATATTTCACTGCTTTCTATAATCTTCAAAGTCAAAAATATCAGTCTGTTGCAGTTTCATGCAGTGTATCTAAATAGGATGATTTTTAAAATCCTCCTTTCAAGTCTGTCAAATGGTCTAAGGTGTGATATATATTTGAGTAAGTAAGAACTACTTATAACTGAGAGGCTATTGGTTTGTGTTTTTTATGGTGTTGAGGATTGAACACAAGGCCTTGCACATGCTAAGCACATGTTCTACCACTGAGCTACATCCCTAGGCCTAGACTTTTGTCTTTGCTTTTCTTTTTTTCTTTTTTAAGCCTAGACTTCTAAAACATGTAAAATCTTGTAACTACATTTTAAGTCTCTCAAATACTTTGAATGATTACAAAGAAGTCAGTGACTAAAACTTGTTGTTCATGGTCTCAAACATTCAGTAACCTATAATTAGCCCAAGGACACTTCCCTGACAGATGGATTAGGAAAATCTCTAATATCCTAAGGTCCGATTCCATTCTAAAATGTTAAAGAGTCCTACTTTTCATCTGTGCATGGTTAGTGGAAACAAAGTTAATACAAGGATAATTAAAGCCAAATGAAGAATGTTAAAACCTTCATTTTTGTTTCCACTTCCCACACATTTTGACCAAAAATGTTAACAAGGAACTAAATCGGTTTGAAATTCACTTCCTTTCTCCAGTGAGGACATTTGTGAACTGTGAAATGATTAGAAGCTGAGAAACAAGAGAAAAGAGAAATAAATGCACAAGAACTGACTAAACTGGATCACCTTACCCTGAACACTCAGGAGTTTATTTCACACAGCCAATCAGGCTTTATGCCATTGAAAGCTTGTGCCCTGAGTTAATCTGTTGACATTCTAGAGTATGTGTGTCTCTACAGTGATTCATTAGTGGATCATAGCTATGAAATTACTCATGAAAAGCTGTGAGCTAGCAGGGGAACTTCTTTTCCAGTACTTTAGTTTGGCCAATGTGTTTGCCATTTCTGGATATAGATTATATTGGCCTTTCCATGGATAAAGCACCTAGCTTTGTTGTCTTTTATGTGTACTTCCATGAAGTCTCAAAGATATCCTGCTCTTACATTGTTAGAATCTTTGTGTTATCTATTAAAGTCTCTTATATGTGACTTAGGAGCCACTCATTCAAATAGGCCCTGTCAAAAACCTGGCTACGTTTTATTAAGGGCAAATATCTATAGTAAAAAGAACTCATACTAGAAAATGACCAAAGTTGCAAACTTGGAAACCATTTACCATGGAGTGTGGGTTTTTTTTTTTTCTTCAGTGCTGGGAATCAAACCCAGAGCCTTGCACATGCTAGGCCAGAGCTCTACCACTGAGCTACATCCTCAGGCTTAAGCTTGGATTTTAGCACCTAAAAGGATGTGGAGTTTGCCTTGCAAAGCCAAGGCTTGGGTATGATCCTCAGCAAAAGAGTCCTGTAATCCGTAGCTACTTGGGATGTGGAGATCAGAAGGCTCATGCTTCAAGACCAGCCTGAAAAAAAATTTAGTGATATCCCCATTTCAACCAATGAAAGCTAGGCATTGTGGCATACATCTGCCATCCAGGAAGTGTAAACAGAAGTATTGTAGTCCAGACAGGCCCAAGTATAAAGTGACACCCTCTCTCAAAAATAACCAAAGTAAAAAGGGTTGGGGACATGGCTTAAGTGATAGAGCACCTGCCTTGCAAATGTGAGGGCATGAGTTCAGATTCCACTACCACCAAGAAATAAAAGATGAGTATCAAATACAGCCAGTTTCTGACTAGTTGGCCTACTTATTTGGACATACTTCCTTATGTCTCTGCTTCCATATGCCCTCCTTACCCCGTTCTCAAATGGTGTATTTTAGGGTATAATAGTACTATTAGCAGAAAGAATAATTTATTTCCCCCTGAATTAATATTTCCCTAATCAACTGCAAAATGCATTTGAGTATTTGTATCAGTAGATTTATCTTATGATATCCTGATTCTTTTTTTCTTGAGTTTTTTTTATTATTATAAAAATAATTTGGACTGGGGATGTGGCTCAAGTGGTGGAGTGTTTGCCTACCAAACATAAGGCTCTGGTTCAAAAACCCCAATACTTGGGGTGGGGTATTGCTGGGCACTGGTGGCTCACACCTGTAATCTTAGCTACTTGAGAGCTGAGATCGGGAGAATCATGATTGGAGGCAGCCCAGGCAAATAGTTTGAGACCCATCTCCAAAATAACCTGAGCAAAATGGACTGGAGGTATGGCTCAGGTAAAGTACCTGCTTTGCAAGTGTGAATTCCCTGAATTCAAACTACGGTCCCACCAAAAAAACAAAGAGAAAAAGAACAAAAATAATTTATGTTCATTAATAGAAATTTTTAAATTTTAGAAGATAATGAATCATATTTAATCATCACCAAAACAGGTAATCATTATTACCTGTTGTTATTGCCTTCCAATCATTTATTTTACTTATTTGTTTGTTTATTCATTTATTTATTTATACATAACTTATGGTACATGGACTTTATTATTTTTTTCGAGTAGTTTTATTAGGTTTACAGCAAAATTAAGGACAGATGAAAAAAAAATTAGGCAGATGATAGAGAGATTTTCCATGTATCCTTTGCCCCCACACATGCACGTATAGCTGTGGCATACGTTGTAACAGAGAGGTACGTTTTCTACACTTTTGAACTTACCTCAGCACATCATTATCAACCAAAGTCAGTCATTTACATTAAGGTTCACTCTTGGTGTTTGTACATTGTATGAGTTTGAACAAATTTACATGTATTCACCATTAGAGTATCATACAGAGCTTTCACTTTTTAAGTACATATATGTGTACATATTTTTGAACAAAGAAAAAAATCTCCTTGACTTCACATATAATTCTGTTTTCTAGAGAGTAGACATTTTCTTTCCATAGTGAATATAGTTCTTATTTGAGAAAAAAAATTTCTAAACAGGAGAATCCTGAACTCCTATCCAACAAAATGAGTGCATGAACAGGGTGCCTACACATTTTATTATATTTGTTCTTTGGTGGCTTCCTCTCTTTGTTTGTACTACCATATCCTATCCAAACCTTTTTGTCTTCTCCAGTCAGTCTGTACACTGCTGTCTTTCCCAGCAGTTGACATGGAAAAAGAGCAGCAAGTGGTGGTGTTAATTTTCTGCAAAGTCATCTCATCTTGTGCATAGTTGCCATGCTGGAGCTCAGCCAGATTGTGTGAAGGGAGGTAACAGGATTTCTTCCTCTCTTTGGAAGAATGCTCAGCTCTGCAGTGTACAGTGATCTGTTTATTTGGAAAGGTATCCAGCTGGTATGAGAGGGAGTGTATAGAAGATCATTTAAAGAAAATCTACAAAGAGAAGGATTGGTGGGAAACCAGGGTGTTACTAGAAAATAAAGTTTCTTCCATGCCCTTACAAGTATATACAAGTTACTGCTTCTCTGAGCCGGAAACCTTGCCCAACCAAACTTCAATATCAACAGCTTTCCTGGAGGCTTTCCGATTTGGCTGAGAAAAAGCTAGATGTGAACAGAGGCCCTTTGCAGAAAAAGAAGACAACTTTTGCATTAGACACACAAAGAGTAGTTTTGCTCATGAATTTAAGAAGTAGCAGAATTTTTACTGCTAATTATCTTTTTTCAAGATTTGATACTACAAATCCTTTTAAAAGAGTGTTTCCTTTTCCAAAATTTAGCCTCAAGCTGGTTACAGAGCTGTATAGGTGCAAAGAAATGGAGAGTGTGAGAATAGAAATGAGACAGTAATCAAGTGGGTTATTTTGTTATAGTATTCATGATTTTGTCCCTGTAGATGTATGGCATAAGCTTCTCTTAGAAGGAAAGTTAATAGAAAGCTATGCCTGGTTACCACAGTAATGTGACTTACAACATTGAGGCTATCACTGTTGTATGATAAAGACATGGACATGGATACCAGTCCTTGGAGATGATGACAAGTTGTACTTATCCAAGAACCCCCAGTACAATCCTTATTTGTACCCTTATTTTGACTGGAAGAGTTGAACCGCAGCAAGGCTATTTGCTAAGGATAACATTTGAAAAGAAATCAATTTCTTGGGTCTTTGGGCCAGTGTACAGTATTGGGGAAAACCAGAGTGAAAGATGAAAATGAACTTTAAAATATGTAAGTCTTAATATTTCATTTTATGCCTCAATAAGATTAGACTGTTTTGCATAATTATATACAATATAGTAGAAACCCCTATAGAATTATGTCATTGTAAACCTGAAATGCCTAGGATTAAAAACAAACAAACAAAAAAGCCCAAGGGGGCTAATAGGAAAGTCATTACACCAAGTTGACTCTAGTTCAGATTGAATCTGAAGCACCTCTAACCACAGCCCAAGTCACTTTTTATGGGCTTCACTGAATCAGTACTTTGCCTCTGGATAGGGGTCACTTTAGACTGTCAGATTGAATTCTCCCTGGACAGGTAGACTAAAAAGCATAGACGTTTCCCATGATATAAGGGTTATTTCTAACTTGACAAAGTTCTGCAGAAGATTAAGATTTATAAATTAACAAGTGAAGTGGTCACATTTCCCTGGCTCCAACTTAACTATTCAACCCTTGTTGTTTGATGTCTGTCTCAAAGTCCTTTGGTGTTGGAACTAGTTTTCTAAGGTTAAGCACAGAGCCCTCAGAACCTTCCAGAATTTTTTAAAACAAGTCAGCCAAGTCCTCATCTTTTTTACTTACCTTTTCTTAAACAGGACTTCAGCACATTGTCCTTGATAGATCCTAGTTCAACAGTCAGATAACAGGTCACTTGTAATATGATGTTAGTGTTTATATAACTCTTGGCAGTTTTCAAGGTGCTTTATTGTTTATTTCATCACTGATTGAACAATCATTTGTTGATCCTCTTCCTTGTGCTAGGCCTTACAGTAGGAATTTATATGGTCTGCTCTAATTCCAGAAGGAGAAGAGTGGTGAATTATATCAGAGAGGTGCTCAGTATACTACTGAAATAAGGACATAGAGGTGACCTTTGATTAGATAGAGGAGATTATTAGTAACATTAGCCAGAGTTTGTTATTGGTTGTGGAGTTGATATAAATGCCAAATCTATCTTATAAGTAAGAGCAAATGAGTTATTGAGAACTAGGGTTCTTGAAGTGGATTAGGGAGATACAAATGATGGGCAGAGGTCAAGAAGGTGAGAAAGAACCTGTGGTGTTGAATGTGAATTGGAGGTACCAATATAAATTCAATATTTTTTAGAAATATTTCCCAGCTTTGTTTACAGAAAACTTTTATAAGCATACCTAATTAATACCCATATCTTTTTTTTTTCCAGTACTGGGGTTTGAACTCAGGCCTACACCTTGAGCCACTCAACCAGCCCTTTTTTGTAAAGGGTTTTTTGTTTGTTGTTTGTTTGTTATTTTGGGTTTGTTTTGTGTGTGTGTTGTTGTGTGTGTTTTGAGATAGGGTCTCAGGAACTATTTGCCTGGCTGGCTTCAAACTGAGATCCTCTTGATCTCTGCCTCCAGAGTAAGTAGGATTACAGGCGTGAGCCACCCACACCCAGATTTAATACCCATATCTTAATTACAAAATAGCATTCTTCACTAAAGGAAGCCAGGATTCTTTGAGAAAATGATGATACCACTCTCAAAGTCAGTCTAGAATAACTTTTTATGCTAAATTACAAGGAAGTACTTGAAGACTAGTTATATCTGAAGAAACTATCTTGATGAAATTTCTACTGGCCTGAAAATTCAGGACAATTTGAGCACCAAAATAATTAATGATGGGAATGGGTTATAATATACTAATTACAAAAAGAATTCTAGAGTCCAGTCCATAGTGACACTCACAAAAAAAAAAAAAAAAAGAAAAGAAACAGGTGGAAGGAATGGTTAGATGAAGCTCTTTTAGAGACAAATGCCCGCTAACACGCACAGGGGTCAACATTTTGTAACCTCTAATAAATTATTTAGGCAACATCAATTGATACTCAGACCAAAGAGTAAAAGTTACTGCAAAATAGTATATTCAAAGATAACTAATACTCATAGATTACTAATTGATTGTAAAGAAACCTTTACAGTCCAGAAATGTGGCAGGTGCAAAGAGATCAAAATCACTGTGACAAGTAATGGGACAAACTGATCTTATGTACTTTGCAGTTTGATGCAATAGGAAGTATACAATGTAATAATCTTGCCAAAACTGTTTGACCTGAATCTAACATTAGGAAATAATCTGACAAATCCAGATTATAGGTAGTTCTCCAAGACCTGGAATCTACAAAAATGTCAGTATCATGAAATACCAAAAAAAAGGCAGGGGCAAGAGTAGGTATGGACTGTTCTATGTTAGAGGAGAAAGAGAATAGAGTCAAGGCAACCACATGCCTTGACTGAGTGACTATAAAGGAAATATTGGGTACAATTATGGAAATTCAATTATAGATAGTATGTGTTAGATTATTTCTTGGGTGTGATAATAGTATTATGTAAGAAAACATTCTTAGATGATACATGTTCAAGTATTGTGTCATAATCTTCAAGTTGCTTTCAAACAGCTGGGGGGAGTATGATTATACATTGAAAGAAAAGGAATGTGGAAAAATATTAACAATTAATGTGTCTTCAGATAATCTGTTTGCCATTTATCCCTGTCTTGAAATTTTACATGTCATGTTTCCCTCCTTTATTTGACAGAAGCTGCTGTTTCACTCTCTTTGGTCACACACACATTCTGTCCCCCAGTTCCTTAGATACAATATAATACACTAGAAAATGTAGGTGTTGGAATCCCATCTGGCTTTAATTCATAATAATGCTGCTTTGTTCTTTCAATGAATGTTTATTGAGCCCCTGCTAGTTAGCAGACACTATGCAAGATATACAAATTTCTAAAGGGAATAAAAGAACTGGTTTCTGCCATTGAAGAGCTTATAGATGAGATGATTAAAAAGAAGTATGTAAATAAATAAATACAAATTGTGATACCTGCTGCTGAGAAAAAAAATTAAAAATCATTACTACGAGTAAGAATAGCATAAGACATCTTAGAGTGAATGATGATCAAAAAACTTATGATCTGTGATCTTGAGCAAAAATGACTTGAATTTTATGAGGATCAGTTTTCTTATCTGTAAAACAATGAAGATGGAAGTAACTTTATTTACTTTATCATTCATGAAAACTAAGTGTGGTAACTATAAAGGGCCTGGCACTTAGAAGGTACTGAGTAGATGTCATTGGCCCTGTTTTTTAGAAGCTCTGCTTCTTTCCCCATAATATGCCTTTTCAAGTATTGTATTTGGTTAATATGCTAATACTCCCTATCTTTTTTTCTTTTTTTTTTTTTTTTTGGCTCCATAGGGCTCTGAATGGAATGCCTCCAACTTAGAGGATCTACAGAACCGAGGGTAAGCACACAGAGCAATTGCTGACACAGAGCATGTGACAGAAGTCCCTGTTTTAATCTTTGTTTTCCATGAAAGAGGTATCAATGAGTACTTCAATCTTTAGAATTGCTGCCAATTGATTCTAGTCAGGTATAATTAAATGAAAATTAAAACAACTCTTCTCCCAACTTTTTCATCTTCCCACCTCCCAAGAAAGATCAGCTGTTTTAATAGAAGGCCTTTTAAAAAACAAATGTGCATATCTTTGGTGCGCTTTAAAATCAAGCATAGGGCTGGCGGAGTGACTCAATTGGGAGAGCACCTGTGTAGCAAGTGTGAGCTCCTGAGTTCACACTCCAGTAGCACCAAAAAAAAAAAAAAGAATACATAGAAGTGCATATCTGGGGTTCACAGAACTGTCCCGTCAACATTTCTTGAGTGTTGTCTGTGGATCAAGCACAGTGCTAGGTGCTAGCGAGCCACAGACTTAAGTTCTTGTCCTTTTATCCTTTTCCTTTTTGAGCCATTTGAAGACTAAGTAGGTTATGAATACAAAATGGGCAAGCTTCTGAAACTGAACAAGAAAACATACCTTATATTAAGAAAATTGCCTTGGTGCAGTGGCTCATGTCTGTGATCACAGCTACCCAGGAGCAGAGATCAGGCAGACCACAGTTTGAGACCAGTTGGGCAAAAAAGTTTGAGACCCCATCTCAAACAATAAGCTGAGTGTAGTGGCATGCACCTGTCATCCCAGCTACTTGAGAGGGCATAGGTAGAAAGATCGTGTTCTGAGGCTGGTTCCAAGCAAAACTGCAAGACCATACCTAGAAAATAACTAAAGCAAAAAAGGACAACTGGGGGAGTTGCTCAAGTGCTAGAGCATCTGCCTAGCAAGCTCAAGGCCCTGAGTTTGAACCCCAATGCCACAAAAAAAAAAAGGAAAGAAAGTTGTCCCTAAGCAGCATGGCTGTTAAGTTTGATTGTAGCAATTGACACTGTAATGAACATTTATTAAGCAAAAAGTTGTCATTTTTTCCTTTTTACTACTTAATTAATGTCTGTTAAATTTCTCATTGAACTTCACTTGAGGTTATCAGATCATTCCATTGAGAAGAAAAAAATTGAGCTGGAGATGTGGTTCAGTGGCAGAGTACTTGCCTAGCGTGTGCAGGGCCATGGCTGGATTAGATTCCTAATCCTTCAGAGGGAGGGAGGGAGAGAGAGAAATAGAGGAAGAAAAGGAGAAGGAAAGGGGAGAGGGGGTGAGAGAGAGAATATGAATGAGTCATGTCTGAGATTTGCCATGCTAACTTCATTATGGACAGAAATAAGACAACCTGGGACCCAAAGATTGTGATGACTGCCTATTTGTTTTCTCTGCAACAAGGCAGCCTCTGGTTATCTTTACCATTGTTATATACATACTGCTTTCCCCCCCTTTTGCCTCTCCCAGAATGGTTTTTTATAATTGTTGAAATGAACTTAGAACTGAACTTATTCAAAGAATTCCAGAGAGAAGGGCTGGTGGAATGGCTGAAATGGTAGAGCACCTGCCTAGCAAGCTTGAGGCCCTGAGTTCAAACCACAGTTTCACCAAAAAAAAAAATCCAGAGAGGAAAACTGGTTGCTTAGCTTAAGATTTGAAGACAGTAGAAACTGGAAATTTTAAATTAGTAAGGATTGACTCTAAAGTCAGAGACTGTGTCTTGGTGTTAGGAATTTATATCTACCTAGCTCAGAGTTTTATGCCAAGATGGTATTCAGTAAATGTAAATGGATGGTAGGGAAACTTACATATATGTAATAACTATGATTTGTCTAATGACAGATAAAGAGAGAAAATCAATTAGCAAACTGCTCTGGAAATTCAAAACTTGGCTTCTAATCTTGTGTTTCCCTTTTGCCCTGTTTGCCTGGAAGGGTAAGGCTCAATATATTGTTTACTGCTTAGAATCCTTAAGGGTAAGGATCCCTAATTCACCCTTAATAACAACATTAAATCTGTTTTATATACAGTGGTCAGCTTAAGATTTCTTTGGGGATTGGGCACAGTTTTTGACAGCTTCAGAAGTTGTCAAGCTTTAAAACTTCCATCATTCTGGGAAACCTAGTTATGTTTAATATGAAATCTGAGATTTGGTGGTGTAGCAGTGCTTGCCAAATTCATTATAATCACATCATACATGCATATACTCTGACTTTAGAACATAAAACCCATTATCATATACTTCATTAAAAAAAGAGCATCTATATAAATATGTTTATATATAAGTTTAAGGTCAGCCTGGGCCTTGTCTCAAACCCCTCCACCACCAAAAAAATAGAATGGCTGGTTGCACATACATCTACCTTGTTTCTTAAATTCAGTGGTTCTTAAACTTAGTATATGAAGAATTATAGTTCATGGGCTTATACACAAAACCTTGTGCATGATTTACAAAATCATGCACCTTGTGGATGATTTACAAAATTTTCAAGCATAATTTTGACAATAAGGCCATTTCTACCCAGTCTCTTGACTTTAGAATCTCACTGCAAGTGCTGCTCCATATAGAGTCACTTACTGCTGATATGGCGAAGAAATTCAAGGAGTACCAGTACCAATTGGCAGTGGCTGCTTACAGTTCTATAATGAAAAGGATTGGGAAGACCTGTCCTGCTTCTAGAGGGACAGTGCTGTAATTCATTACTGAACTATGGGATTAGAGGTGGGAGGTTGTTCGTTTTTATATTAAATAAAATAAATGTGCTTGCCTTTTTTCTAAAAGTTATTGAAATGGAACTCACATACCATATAATTCACTCACTTAAGATGTTCAGTTCAGTTGGTTTTAGTAAATGTTACAGTTGTGCAAATATTTCCACAATCAATTCAGAACATTTTTTCAGCCCAAAAAGAAAGCATGTTCCCATTAGTGGTCACTTCCATTTCTTTTATTCTCCCCAATCTCTTCAAACCAAAAATGTCCATTAGCTGACAAATAGCTACTTTTTTGACTATCACAAATAATGCTGGTGTGACCATTTATATGCATGTTGTGGGGTGGACTTAGGTTTTCTTTTCTTTCAGGCTTACACTTAGGAAAGAAATTGTTGGGTCATGTGGTAACTGTGTTTAACCTTTTGAGAACTTGCTATTTTCCACAGCATTTGCACCATTTTACATTTCTAACATGTACTTGCTTTTTAAATTACAAAAATCCTTTCAATTAGTGAGCTTTGATATTAATTTAAAACGGATTCAGAATTCATGTCCCAGGAAAAAAATTGGCCATTCAGGGTTTTTTTGTGGGGGGCGGGGGGCAGCAATACTGCTGTTTGAGCTCAGAGCCTTCTGTTTGCTAGGCAGGCATTCTACCTCTTGAGCCACACCTCCAGCCCGTTTTGCTCTAGTTATTTTTAAGGTAGGGTCTCACTTTTTGCCCAGCTGGTCTGGACTGCTATCCTCCTATTTATGCTTCCCACCATAGCTGGGATGACAGGCATGTACCTGGTAACCCAGCTTTTTCTGCCAAGATGGGGTCTCTGGAGCTTTTTTGCCCTGGCTAACTAAGATCTTCCCAATCTCTACCTCCAGAGTAGCTAGGATTACAGGCACGAGCTACCAGCACCCAGCTAGCCTCTTAATCTTGATCTCAGAGTTGGTGAGCTCTGATTCTCTCTTCTCTAGTCTCATCATTGACTTCAGAAATTGAGTTTATGAAGAATCCCACATTACTTTGTAAGAAGGAAGCTGCTTCTGCAGAGAGAAGCAAGTGAACTATGTTTTATGTTACAGTAAACTTTAGTGATGTCTAAGTCTACATAGCATTGAAAAAAGATAACCTTTAATAAGTTAAACCAAAAAATTTATTGAGGTGCTGCATTTAGATATATTAGAAGAAATGTTTGATAGAGAAACCCTTTTCTGCAAGCATCTCATTATGGAAAACCCCTCAGACACTCTCGGCTATAGTAGCCAGAAATGCAGCCAGAGTTGAAGGAGTTTCAAGTCCAGCTTTCCCCTGACCCATTTAGCCCTGGCCTCATTTGCCTTTCATGTGGTTTGCAGAGAATATAACAGAGCAAATCCTAACCATTTAGCATTTAGAAAAATAGAAAGAAAAATTTCCTTTGTTTTCTTTTTTTCGTTGGGGTACACATAAATAGTCTAGTTTTATACAAGTAACTTCTAAAGAAAAATTATATTGTTGGTAATTTTAGTGACAGAGAAATCACTAGGTTATGGGTCTCAGATTGAGTCTTTGGAGAAAACAAGAGTCCTGTTTTCAAAAGTCTATCAAAGACAAGATTATATAACTATACATAAACTAAAAATGGAATTTGTATGTTGGATATAGCAGATACAGTGTTGGGATTGTATTCATCCTGAATAGCAGAACACATATTCTCCCTTGATTTCCTCACAGGGTGCGGTATATCTTGAATGTTACTCGAGAGATAGATAACTTCTTCCCAGGAGTCTTTGAGTATCATAACATCCGGGTATATGACGAAGAGGCAACAGATCTCCTGGCTTACTGGAATGACACTTACAAATTCATCTCTAAAGCTAAGTGAGTAGTCCCACACATACTTTTTTTTTTTTTTTTTTGTGGTACTGGGTATTGAACTCAGGGCCTCATGCAAGCAAGGCAAACACTAAACCACTGAGCTATATCCTCAGCCCCCACACATACATTCTGATCCCTGTTCCTTGTATAGCACACAGGACTGGACTGAAGACTGTAGATAACTTACTGTTGGTACTCAGAAAAAAGGATATAAAGGAAAAAGGAGACTGAGATTTTATAATCATAGACAAAAGACTAGCGACTAGTGACCTAATGCTTTTTCTTTAAGTAAATGAAACCCGCAGAGGAAAGTGGCCTCAGTTTGACCTCATATTTTCATTGAGCACAAAATGAAAGAAAATAGAATTATGCAACTAAAGAAATAGAAATGAGAGATAGAAGAAATTCTGAATAAAATTCTTCAGTTGCTCATGCAGGTATTTATAAGTTACATAGCAGAAGTTATTCTGGATAGGTAGAATACTGATGTTCCTCTCTGAAGATAAGGGGCAAAGCTTGTTAAACTTTGGAAATCTTTTCTCGTTTCTTTCTTTTTTTCTTTTTTTTTAATGATACTCTAAATGGTGAACCTGTTGTCCATGTCCCCAGTCATGTAAGACTAAATTCAAACCATCCCTGGCAGATGAGAAATGCTTCTGTTTTTGATGTCTTACTCCAGGAATTATTCCACCCTTCTCTTAAGGGTCTTCCTGATCATCTTCTTGGTTACCCTGAATCCTTATAATCCAGCTTTGAGATTATTCCCTTTCACCTTTAGCCAATACCAAGAAGGTATCATACATATTGTGTGTGTGTGTGTGTGTGTGTGTATACATATATACAACACTATATAAATACATAAATGTATATGTATACATACACATTCATTTATATAGTGTTTTACATATTTTATATATATTTACATTTACTTATTTTAAATTTTTTTTTTTATTATTTTTTTGGTACTGGAGATTGAACCCAGGGCCTCACCCTTGCCAGAGTGCTCTACCTCTTGAGCTATGCTCCCAGCCCAAGTGTTTATATTCTTGAAGCCCATTAATAAATTATTCCTGGTAATAATACCAGCATGCCATGCTTACTTTGTGCTAGTTACTTTATACGTATTCTCTCATGTAATAGTTTCTAAAAGCCAGAGAGGCAGATGCTATTGTCATCCTGTACAAACGAGCACAGACCACGGAGATGGGATTCAGAGCAGTTAAATAACAAGTGGGAGCTACAGGACTTGAACTAGATCATATCTATATCAAAGTCCGTAAGTGTACAAGAAGAGTCTGGTTCCATAAAGAAAAAGTTCTCAAAAGACTAGGCAAGTTGTCAGTCTCAGCAAACAAGGTTCAAGGCAAGGCCCCAGTTGCATTGACATGCTGATTCCAGATAGGATCAGGGAGACACCCAAGGTATAAATGGAGGCACTCTTTCTGGGGCTCCTTCAAGTATGCTGCACCCTGGGTGCCACCTGTGTCTAACCTTAATGTGGACAATCCTATAGAGGTGGTACTGAAACTGAAGTGTGGAATTGGGTTAGGTGAGAGCTAACTTAGATCCTTTATATATGAATTAGAAGCTCTCCATTAAAAAAAGCTCATTTGAAAATAGGCCCAAGAGATGTTTTCATGGGAATGAACTTCATAATTGTATTTTACTTAGAATGGTCCAAGTTTGTGCATCTTCTGTGCCTACAGCATAGACCTAAAATCTGATACTTTAAAGTTGTCTGAGCTCGATGATTGAGCATGTGTCTATAAACTTTCTTCTGAGTCACTGTGTACTGGTTCCCTAACTGAAGTTTAACTGAAACCCTATGATGTCATAAATAAGACAAATATTTCATAGTCATTTAGAATAATCTAAGCACAGAGAAACACACCACACCAAACTTAAGACACCAAAATCTTGCACCTGATTGACAAGTGGGAGGCTAATCTTCCTTTGCTCTGAAAATGTTTGAGTTATTCTAGACCATTCCCTGCATTCCTGTACCTTACCTGCTTACTCATTTTGGCAAGTAACCTCAGGCCCCCTTGTACTGATACTTAACTCTTTTATGTGTCTCTGTCTCCAAAAACAGGATTATAGGCTTCTGGAAGATAATTTGTCTACCATGATATAGTGAGTGTGTGAATAAATATGGATTTCCCCTTATGCTAATATGTACGGGTTTTTTTGTGGTGCTGGGGTTTGAACTCAGGGCTTTGTACTTGCAAAACAACACTCTACCACTTGAGCCATAGCTCTAGTCCATTTTGTTCTGGTTGTTTTTATTATTATTGTTGTTGTGCTGGCGGTACATTGTGACATTTACAGAAGTTCTTACAATATATCATAGTTGAATTTACCCACTGCATCAATCTCCTTTATTCTCCCTCCCTCCAAATTGGTTCATCTCCTCTATTTTTCTCCCTTCTATCATAGTCCCCTTCTTATGATGATTTCAACAGGTTTAAAAATTCTATATTCATTCTTGTATAGGAAGTACATCAATCATAGGTGACCTCCCCTTAGCATGACCTGTTTTTCGTAATATTGCTTATATTTGTATTAGGTAGATATTCTACATATGAGAGAAAACATACGACCTTTGGCCTTCTGAACCTGGCTAATTTCACTTATGATGTTCTCCAGTTCCATCCATTTACCTGTAGAATTTCATTCTATTCCATTGTATATAAATGCCTCATTTTCTTAATTCATTCATCAGTATTGGGGCATCTTGACTGTTTCCATAGCTTGGCTATTGTGAATAATGCTGCAGTGAACATGGGTATGCAGGTGCCTTTATTGTAACCTGACTTATATTTCTTCAGGTATATCCCTAGGGATGGTATTGCTGAATCATATGGCAGTTCTATTTTTAGTTTTTTGAGGAGCTTTAATAGTGGTTATACTAGTTTATATTCCCACCAACATTTGTTGTTTTTTGTGTTCTTTTTTTTCTTTTTCTTTTCTTTCTTTTTGGCAGCACTGGGGTTTGAACTCAGAGCCTCATGCTTGCTAGGCAGGTGTTCTACCACTTGAGCCACTCTGCCAGCCCTCTCTGTTTGTGTTCTTGATAATAGAACACAAACAAGAGTGAAGTACAATCTTAACGTGGTTTTGATTTGCATTTCCTTTATGGCCAGGGATATTAATCATTTCTTCATGTGTTTTTTGGCATTTGGACTTCTTCCTTTGAAAAAATTCTATTCAGTTTATTTGCCCATTTCTTTATTGGATCATTGATTTTTTGGGGAGTTTTTTTTTTAGATATTAGAACTCACTAGAAATCATTCCCACTTTCTCTCCCTAGTAAGTCCACACCCAAACATGTGAGACAAGTGAGAACCTATTTTGTTTTTGAAGACTTGCAAAGAAAGGTCTACTCAACAGAGAAAAGAACTGTTTTTAGCTTCAGATAAACCATGTTTTAACCATGTGCATGTTCTAATAGTACTGATTTTATTAAAATGCTATTTTTAATTTTTTCTTTTTTTTTTATTATTCATATGTGCATACAAGGCTTGGGTCATTTCTCCCCCTGCCCCACCCCTCCCTTACCACCCACTCCGCCCCTCCCTCTCCCCCACCCCCTCAATACCCAGCAGAAACTATTTTGCCCTTATTTCTAATTTTGTTGTAGAAGAGTATAAGCAATAATAGGAAGGAACAAGGGTTTTTGCTGGTTGAGATAAGGATAGCTATACAGGGAGTTGACTCACATTATTTCCTGTGCGTGTGTGTTACCTTCTAGGTTAATTCTTTTTATCTACCTTTTCTCTAGTTCCTGGTCCCCTTTTCCTATTGGCCTCAGTTGCTTTAAGGTATCTGCTTTAGTTTCTCTGCGTTAAGGGCAACAAATGCTAGCTAATTTTTTAGGTGTCTTACCTATCCTCACCCCTCCCTTGTGTGCTCTCGCTTTTATCATGTGCTCAAAGTCCAATCCCATTGTTGTGTTTGCCCTTGATCTAATGTCCACATATGAGGGAGAACATACGATTTTTGGTCTTTTGGGCCAGGCTAACCTCACTCAGAATGATGTTCTCCAATTCCATCCATTTACCAGCGAATGATAACATTTCGTTCTTCTTCATGGCTGCATAAAATTCCATTGTGTATAGATACCACATTTTCTTAATCCATTCATCAGTGGTGGGGCATCTTGGCTGTTTCCATAACTTGGCTATTGTGAATAGTGCGCAATAAACATGGGTGTGCAGGTGCCTCTGGAGTAACCTGTGTCACAGTCTTTTGGGTATATCCCCAAGAGTGGTATTGCTGGATCAAATGGTAGATCAATGTTAGCTTTTTAAGTAGCCTCCAAATTTTTTTCCAGAGTGGTTGTACTAGTTACATTCCCACCAACAGTGTAAGAGGGTTCCTTTTTCCCCGCATCCTTGCCAACACCTGTTGGTGGTGTTGCTAATGATGGCTATTCTAACAGGGGTGAGGTGGAATCTTAGTGTGGTTTTAATTTGCATTTCCTTTATTGCTAGAGATGGTGAGCATTTTTTCATGTGTTTTTTGGCCATTTGAATTTCTTCTTTTGAGAAAGTTCTGTTTAGTTCACTTGCCCATTTCTTTATTGGTTCATTAGTTTTGGGAGAATTTAGTTTTTTAAGTTCCCTATATATTCTGGTTATCAGTCCTTTGTCTGATGTAGTTGGCAAATATTTTCTCCCATCTGTGGGTGTTCTCTTCAGTTTAGAGACCATTTCTTTTGATGAGCAGAAGCTTTTTAGCTTATGAGTCCCATTTATCTATGCTATCTCTTAGTTGCTGTGCTGCTGGGGTTTCGTTGAGAAAGTTCTTACCTATACCTACTAACTCCAGAGTATTTCCTACTCTTTCCTGTATCAACTTTAGAGTTTGTGGTCTGATATTAAGATCCTTGATCCATTTTGAGTTAATCTTGGTATAGGGTGATATACATGGATCTAGTTTCAGTTTTTTGCAGACTGCTAACCAGTTTTCCCAGCAGTTTTTGTTGAAGAGGCTGCTTTTTCTCCATCGTATATTTTTAGCTCCTTTGTCAAAGACAAGTTGGTTATAGTTGTGTGGCTTCATATCTGGGTCCTCTATTCTGTTCCACTGGTCTTCATGTCTGTTTTTGTGCCAGTACCATGCTGTTTTTATTGTTATTGCTTTGTAATATAGTTTGAAGTCAGGTATTGTGATACCTCCTGCATTGTTCTTTTGACTGAGTATTGCCTTGGCTATTCGTGGCCTCTTGTATTTCCATATAAATTTCATGGTAGATTTTTCAATCTCTTTAATGAATGTCATTGGAATTTTGATGGGAATTGCATTAAAAATGTAGATTACTTTTGGGAGTATCGACATTTTTACTATGTTGATTCTACCAATCCATGAGCATGGGAGATCTCTCCACTTTCTATAGTCTTCCTCAATCTCTTTCTTCAGAAGTGTATAGTTTTCCTTGTAGAGGTCTTTCACATCTTTTGTTAGGTTTACACCTAGGTATTTGATTTTTTTTTTAGGCTATTGTAAATGGAAGTGTTTTCATACATTCTTTTTCAGTTTGCTCATTGTTAGTGTATAGAAATGCTAATGATTTTTCTATGTTGATTTTATATCCTGCTACCTTGCTATAGCTATTGATGATGTCTAGGAGCTTCTAAGTAGAGTTTTTTGGGTCTTTAAGGTATAGGATCATGTCGTCTGCAAATAGGGATATTTTGACAGTTTCTTTTACCTATTTGTATTCCTTTTACTCCTTCTTCTTGCCTAATTGCTCTGGCTAGGAATTCCAGTACTATGTTGAATAGGAGTGGAGAGGGAGTTTTGTTTTTTAAGCTCCCTATATAACTCTGGTTATTTTGGAGATGAGATGTTGAGAAATATGTGCCTGAGCTGGTCTCGAACCTCAATTTTCCCAATCTCAGCCTCCCAAATAGCTAGGATTTTACAAGCGAGAACCACCAGCACCCAGCTAGTATGTACATATTTTGATATATTGTAGTAGCTACTTTAAAGGATTCTAGAACTCATGTACACTAGCAATAAGAGTTCTTTTTTTCCCCCAGATTTTAAAATGCTCCTGATTAAGCAGCTGGCAGATCTGATCCAGCAGATCCATTTAAGCAAATATTTGAAGGCTTACTATGTGCCAGACACTGTGTTTTTAGTAGAATTAGTATTAACTGAATAATGTTTATATCCAAGATAATTAGCTCTGGCATGATAAGAATTAAGTAGGTTTTTGTTGTTGTTGTTGTTTTTAGTGTAGCTTTGTGGTAATGCTATTTTCCTTTCTACACGTTAAAAAATAATAGCCAGGCACGAGCGGCTCACCTGTAATCCTAGCTACTTGGGAGGCTGAGATTGGGAGGACTGAGGTTCAAGGTCAGCCTGGGCAAATAGTTTATGAGACCCCCTTCTCCAAAATAACCAGAGCAGAATGGACTGGAAGTGTGGCTCAAGCAGGAAAGAGCCTGCTTTGCAAGCATGAAGCCCTGAGTTCAAATCCGTATCCTACCAAAAATAATGATAATAAACAATAGGATCTGGGGTGTAGCTCAGTAGTAGAGCATGTGCTTAGCATGTGCAGGCCCTGGATTCAATTCCCAACATTTAAAAATAAAGCAAAATGAAACAGGTAGCTCTCATTCATTTCACACTAAGAAAGCCATGTGGTGCATCACAGGCTTCCCATCTAATTCTCTGGGTTGTATGATCACTTTCTAGAAGGACATAGGTTGTAGTGTTGTAAAAAGTAACATCCAGAGCTGTGTCTGAATAAAGAAGAAGTTTGGTTTCATTTGGTTTGTGTTGGTTCTTTCCTTGAGGACAGAACCCTTACTGGAACTTTAACTAGAAACAAATCTAACATCTAAATAAATTAGATGAATCACTGCCACACCTATAACTCAGGAGAGTGCTAGTCATGAAGCATACCCTGCAGCTGTGAAGAAATTACCCTCCACCATACAAAAAATGAACGTCAGTCACAACTGCAAAATCCTCCCTCTATACTTTGTCAGTGCACTTACACCTCATTGAATTTTAATTGTCTGCTTCTCCCACTCAGTCCTACCCTATAGGGTAGAAGTTGTATGTTGCTTATGTTTGCATCTCAGCACCTTGTACATTATCTTACATATGGTAAGTGCCTGGGAAATCTTTACTGATTGATTAAAGAGATTTAATATTAAAATTGAATATTAATTAATTAAGAGTACTGGTCTGGAGGTATGGCTCAAGTGATAGAGCACCTGCTTTGCAAGTGTGAAGCCCTGAGTTCAAAACTCAGTCCCACCAAAAAAAAAAAAGTACACTTAAAGCTGCTTACCTTACCCTCACCTTTCTTTTTGCAGTCCTGGGGCTTGAACTCAGGGCCTACCCCTTGAGCCACTCCACCAGCCCTACTTTGTGATGGGTGTTTTCAAGATAGGGTCTTCACAGACCCTATTTGCCCAGGCTGGTTTCGAGCTGCAATCCTCCTGATTTCTGCCCCCTGAGTTGCTAAGATTGTAGATGTGAGCCACCGGCTTATGGCTTACCCTCACTTTTGATCATCGATGTACATGAGTATACCGAAGTGGAGGTATTATATAGCAAGAAAATGGAAGAGCAGAACAGGAGACTTGGAAAAGTCTAGAACCTACTATTACTTTCCTCTCTTTTTCATTTTAATATCCGAAACAAGGAAACATGGATCTAAATGCCTTGTGCACTGCAAGATGGGGGTGAGCCGCTCAGCCTCCACTGTGATTGCCTATGCAATGAAGGAGTATGGCTGGAATCTGGACCGAGCCTATGACTATGTGAAGGAAAGACGAACAGTGACCAAACCCAACCCCAGCTTCATGAGACAACTGGAAGAGTACCAGGGGATCTTGCTGGCAAGGTGAGTCCTCCAGTGGCTTTCTCAGATTCTCACTACATAAGGTAATGGGAAGTGTCCTTCTCTAAAGCCAATTTTGAGCCTAATTTGAATGAGATATTTTTTAACTTAGATTCCATTCTATGTCAATCAAATTTGCAGAAAATCTGGGCTGGAGGCATGACTCAAGCAATAGAGCACCTGCCTAAGCAAGTGCAAAGCCATAAATTAAAAAAAAAAAAAATTAAGCTGGGCACCAGTGGCTCACACTCATAATCCTAGCTACTTGGGAGGCTGAGATTTGGAGGATCGTGGTTCAAGGCCAGGGCAAATAGTTCGTGAGACCCTATCTCGAAAATCACCACAGCAAAGCTGACTGGAGTGTGGCTCAAGCAGTAGAGCACCTGCTTTGTGAGCACAAATCCCTTAGTTGAAACCCCAGTTCCATGAAAAAATTTAAAAATAAGCATGAAAGATTAGACATTTATTCCATGTAATTTCTCACGTTGATGTTAGTTTAGTATAAACTAAAGGATAGAAATACTCTTCCCTTATTTCAGTTCTCAACTAGGTACAGTACAGATTTTAATAAACACTTTCCAACATCTTATAAGACTAGAAACAGCTGCCTTACCAATTATTCCCAAGGTGATGCTAGGCTTAGCTAAAATTCTTGGAAAAGAAGTACCTGTTGTTACTTCTGGGGTTTTTCTCTTCAGTGCTTGGATTCACTAAAGTAACTTTGGTCACGTGGCAAATGTATATAACCTATTTGAGGTGTGAAGGTACTTCCTAGAAACAGCTCCTTCTTGTTTGTTTTTAAATCCTTTAATCAAATTGTATATGTATGCTTTGCAAAAGTACAGAAAATAACAAAGGGAAAAATAATTTATGAGCTTAATACCCACAGACATCAGTCAATACTATTTTACCTATTCCTCTAGGGTTTATGTTACTACATATTTTGATGTATATTTTTTCCACAAAAAACATTTTTATGGCACTGGGGTTTGAACTCAGGGCCTCATGCTTGCTAGGCAGGCATGCTTATTCCTTGAGCCACTCTGCCAACCCACAAAAGCCATTTTTGCAGCCTGCTTCTCTACCCAGTACTAGATCTAGAATATCTTCTCATATCAATAAGAGACAGCTGTTTTCGGTAATAGTTTCGTAGCTGGTTGTTAAAATGAGTAGCTAATTTCACAATCTCATTACCCCCCTGGAGGCAAAAACCACCTTTAGCTGCTCTTGGGAACAAGCATCAGATGTGAAATGACTGGAGGATCAGTTTCTTGAGCAGCCACATGCTGAAATTCTTTGGATCATTAGATTTCATTTTGTTCTTCCACATGGGCATGTCCTAGGTGGTGGTGTTACGGTGAAGGCACAGTTGTCTAGAAGTATTTTGGGTTAGTGCCAGGGTTTGACTCCAGCAAGTCTTATAACTTGGTTTTGACTCTCAAATTTGGGCTGTTTCCCCAGACAAAATATTAAATAGCCTTCCAGCCTATCCAGGCAGAGGGGCCATCCTCTCCCCACCAAAAGTATTGTGACAGTGTGGCCATAGCATTGCATTATGGTTTCCACTAAAAAAAAAAAAAAAAAAAAACCATTTATTCAGCATTCGGAATGATTGCATCTGAGCTGTTCTCTTTAGGAGGATGAGAGAATACTCATGCCTCCTCTGTTTAAAAGAATTCCTCAGTCTTTGGTGCCAGATTTTGATGACATTTTTAGATTAAACCAGAATGTAGGACACAGCCGTTCTTTTGGGCACAAGAAAGAGGCATCTAAGGGTTTGACAAGACATAAATATTATATGTTCCCAGACACATATGACAGTTGTTCGGCAATGTCCTCACGTGACCCACTGAGAGGAAGGATGCCATGTGTCCTGCCAATTTCAGTATTTATCCTGGAATCTCAGGCTACTGCAAACTGTTGGATTGGGTTTTTTGTTTTGTTTTGTTTTGTTTTGTTTTAAGTATATGTGGTTTTTCTTAGATGTTAAAGAAATTTCAGAAAAATCTTAGATGAGGTTATGAAGGACAGCATAAACCAGAAAATCACTCTTCCCTTTGCCTTTTCCTTTTTCTGTTCTATCCTGACTTCCTGGGCTTGACTCATAGAGGAAGGGCAAGCCCTGGGAGAGAAAACCACAGAATTTGAGTCAGTAGATATGGTTTCCATTCCTGGTTCACCCCCTTGCTGCAACCTTGAGAAGTTACTTCACTTTCCTCATCCTCACCTGACCCCATCTATAAAATAAAAATCAAGGTCTGGGGGGCATGGCTCAAGTGGCACAACACTTGTCTTGCTCACATGAGGCCCTGTGTTTAATCCCCAGTACAATGAATGAATGAACAAATGAATAATAAATAAGTATTAAAAGATCTACTGCACAGGGTTATGGTGAATAAATATGTGCACAAATGTCACTATATATTATTAAGGATTATTTCTCATCTCCTTTCACTTTGGTTACACAGAAAACAGACATATGTATATGCCATTTATTTCCTTCTCCTTGACATCAACCACTGCCTTCCATCACCACAAACAGACTAACTCAACAGAAACTGGAGTAGAAAGTGTTCCTAGAATTTCCTGTATTGTGGTGTTTCTGTATCTTTAAGTACCAGAGTCCAGTATAGAGCTATCACTTAGCCTGCTTTCAGCTGCAAGTAATAGAGTACTTCCATCACTCAGGATCTCAACAAGAAGTAGCACAGTCAGATTAGGATTTTTTTTTTTAGTGAGGGGGTGGGGAGGAGATTTGTCTTTTCTTTTTTGGTGTTGGGATCAAACCAGGGCCTCATGCATGCTAGACAAGCTCTACCCACTGAGCTACATCCCAGCCCCAGATTAGGATTTGGAGAGAGTTTTATAGAGGGACAATTACAAAGCAGAATCAAGGACTGGTATAGCTCCTAGGCCCAGAGAGAGAGAGAGCATTTACTATAACCTGAAGGAGACTCCCATAGAGAAAGGCACCTTCAGAGACTAGCAATAACATTCAGTCATAGGGACACACAGGTAGTTGAGGTGACCCTTCCAGGAGTAAGCTAAAGGAATAAACACTCTGCCCTCAGTCTCTTCCCTCCAGTCTTCTTCATGAACTCTCCATTAGCCAAAAACCTCTGAAAGCCGTAGGACAAGGGGCCTGTTGATATAATCCATTGATCAGTGCAGAGAGCAAGGTGGAGAAGCTGAAGAGCAGACCTGCCAGGACTAATAGAAGATATCTGCCTGAAGACACCAATATGGGTAGTTTTAAAAGTTAAATCATTTTTCATATCCTCTAACAAAAAGCATAGTGCAGTGGCCCAGTGGTGATGTAAGTAGGGACTTTGGTGTGGTCCATCTTTCTGACCTACATTCCTTAGTTAACAGTTTGGTGCGTGAGGTTGTCTCCTCATGATTGCTAGATGGCTGTCACATTCATAAGCACATGTGTAAACTGCACAACAAAAGACTGAAGAGAAAGGGTGACCTTTCCCAGATCCTCACCATAGACTTCCCCTCCAGACCTGTGGGCCAGGACTGGGTCATATGCCTAAAGCCAATTCTATTTCCTAAGACCAAGGAAATAGAATTTCCAGGGTCAACTAAAACATATTCGCATTTGTCCTCTGGAGCTAGGGAAGAATCACATTCCCCAAACCCATGGGACATTGAACAACCAAACCAGTCAGGCCTCTGACAGTAACAAAGACAGCTGTTGGGTGTATAGCCATTAGGATCTGTAGTCTGTATGTTGTTCAGAAACCTTAACACTTGTAGAATAACTGCCAAGTGAATTTGGCCCAGCAGACTCTTGACCAGCTCCAAAGTCCTACACCAGGATCTGCTGCTTAGACAAGCAAAGAAAAGAATCCCACCTCCTGTGACTCTGAAGTTTCGCCAAGCCTTGCAGTTTATGTAACAAGGAGAGCAAAGTCCTTAGAAAAATCCCACTCTGTTTGCAAAGAAATTCCATTTCCTGGTCAAGTGTTTGAATCCTGTATTTCATATCTTCTCCCAGGACCCATGTGGTGGTTTCCTCAAGGAGGTACAGCCCTGATCATAGCCTTCTTTAGCTTCATAGTAATCCACGGTAGCACTGGGTATTTAACTGGAGGTAGCAGCTCTCTGTTTGAGGGCATTAGCTTCGTTCTTTGACCTCCTAAGGAAGAGAAGTTTACCACAGTGACACCAGATTGCTATAGTGATTTATAAACTGATTATAGTCTTAATTAGAATGTGAGTATCTGAAGTCTAAAGGACTTTTTGCATCTCTTAAAATAAAATTAATAACTTTGAGAAGGCTGAACTATTCTCCTTTAGACCTAAAGAGGAGGGTATCATAAAGAGGATACTATTCATACCTGATTTTTTTTTTTTCTGGTTGGTGTTTGGTTTTTGCAGTGCTGGGATTGAATCCCAGGACTTTTTAGACAAGTGCTCTACCACTTGAACTATGCCTTTAGCTGTCTTGTTTTTTTTTTTTTTTTTCGTTGTTTTGTTTTTGAACAGGATCTCTCCACTGTCTTTTCCCTGACTGGCCTCAAGCTCAAGATCTTCCTGCCTCCACCTCCCAAGTAAAAGTTGGAGGATGGGAGCAAGACAGGAGGAGGTAGATAGGGTGTGTGTGTGTGTGTTTTGAAATTCTTCATTGAAACTCTCCATTAAACTGTCAGCTACCCTGTTTATTATTCCACACTCTGGTCATGCAGGTATCTGGCAGATTTATGTTCTACCAGACAAGTGCAGATTTCATGCAGACCATTTCAAGCTGGACCTTGTATCTGTGGCACTAGGTTCCAGTACATGGGAGCAAGGAAGAAAAGCTAAGTGGTAGCCAGAGAGAATTTGTGCCAAATGTCCTCAGTTTTAATTCTTTCAAGATCCCTGTCCCAAGGGCCAGAGGAGGCAGAAGTGTCTTGTACCCTGGCTTTTTTGGTAGAGACACTGAGGTCTTGTTATCTGGTACACAGGGGTCAACCAACAGCAGGAAGCCTGAGACTGAAAGGACTCGGATTCTTGGTCAGGTAACAGCCAAGCCCAATTAAGGGATTGGGACTTTCTTAATAGTTTTTCAGTCAAATAATCTAAAACATCTAGGACCATGCACAACACACAGAAAATGTTCAATGAGTGCTTTTCTCTTCCTTTCTATAGACTTCCTAATATCTAAAAAGTAGCCAAAAACAGTCTGGTTTTCCTGTAACTGGTCCTCCATTTTTAGCAGTATTTTCCTCTATGTCTCTCACTCACAGTTGATGCTTTACCAAGCATAATGGTTCATGCCTATAATCCCAGCTGCTTGGGAGGCAGAAACAGGAGGATCCATGTTTGAGGCCAGTCTGAACAAATTTATCAACACCCTATCTGAGCTGGTGGAGTACCTGCCAGGAAAGTGTGAGGCCAGGAGTTCAAACCCTAATACCACAAAAATAAATAAATAAACAAAAAAAAAAAAAAAAACCTGTCTTAAAAACAGACTATAAACAAAAGGACTTGGGGTATAACTCAAGTGGTAAAGCACCTTGAGGTACTCACGGTGGCAAACTTAAGGCCCTGAGTTCAGTCTTCAGTACTGGAAAAATAAAATAAGTTGGAAGCAAGAAAACGGGGGGATGTCTTATGCATCTTGTCATTTAAGTTTCCTTTTTGTCCATTTACTAAGTAAAAACCTAATTTCTTACTCAGAGTAGCCCAGTCATCTCATATGTGTCTGTGTTTTTACATGAATCCAAATTCAGGTCAGAGGCCACTCAAGCAGGAGAAAACAGAATTGGTTGCATCATCTAGGCCACAGACCAACTCTGAAGTTCTTTTTTGGCAGCTTGTTTATTTGTTGTCTGCCTGAAATAGGAAGGGGGAGTCAGCTGGATTTAAAAGTTAGCAGTTTAAAATAGGAGATATGATCTAATGCCTTACATCTATCCCTACCTAGTGATAGGGTATTAGAATACCCTAGCTCCAAACAAAGCTTCATTGGAAAACAGTCTAATGTTACCAAATAAAACTGATGATGCATACAAACCCTATGATCCACGTTTTCCACTCCTATATATAACAGCTTTGGGAAACTTAAGTGTACCAGGCACAAGAATGTCTGTAGCAGTATTGTTTGTAATGGCCAAAGCTGTTAGTCAACAAGATGGATAGCTGAATTGTGACTATTCATTATTACACTCTATGAAATATATTACATAGTGATGAATCTTAAAAATATAGTATTAGGCAAAAAAGTCTGCTGTAAAAGAATATAGATAATATGATTTAATTTACATAAAGTTCAGAACATGGAAAACTAAACAATGTATTAAGAACAAAATATGTAGCAACACTTTAAAGGAAAGGGATGATAAGCACAAAATTCAGAAAGGACATTACCCCTGAGAGGGAAAGTGGAGGGAAGGGATCAGGAAGGGCACATACAGTAGCCGTACTTCAGCAGCAGTGGTAATGACTGTCTGGACTGTATCAGAGAGCTGCCTACCACCCTCCTTGCAGGACCTATTACAAAAATGAAAAAGGCAGCAGCATCAGAACAATCTTTGGGTTGGAATTTTTCTTTCTCCTTTATAAGTAGGTTTTAGTTTGATTCAAGAGCCCCACCTTGTATTTTCTGATGATTATCTTACCCCAGGAAAAGAAGGAAATCCCTGCTGGCAGCATGGCAGTGAGGTCAGCTACTTCCTGTGAATCATGTACTGTTTATGCTCATTAGCATAACTTTCATCTCTCATTCTTTCTTGACTGATTAGTAATTTGCAGCATTTTTTCTTTTAAACTATACTTTAGAGGATTGTTGGGATCAGGAAAACTTCTCATTTTCCTATCAGCTGATAAGGTCGCTGCTCTTTTATATTATTAGAAGGGTGAGAACAGCTATCCCCTAAAGTGTCTTCCCAATCACATGTATCACAAGCATTGTCCTACCGTGGTCAGTGAGAGTAGTTGGTGCAGGTTTGAATAACTTCATGATAGATGACAGATAGCAATTTCAGAACACAGTCACATCTAGGTCAGGCAACAAGGATATCTGAATATAAGAAAAGACACTTTAAAACGAAGCACACTAAGCCGGACACCAGTGGCTCACACCTGTAAGCCTAGCTACGTGGGAGGCTGAAATCAGGAGGATGGCAGTTCAAGGCCAGCCTGGGCAAATAGTTCAGAGACCCCATCTCCAAAACAACCAGAGCAAAATGGACTGGAGGTGTGGCTCAAGCAGTAGAGCACCTGCTTTGTAAGCAGAAAGCCCTGAATTCAAATCCCAAAGAAAAGAAAAAAAAAAAAAAGGAAGCTCACTAGCTTTGGTTGGTTATAATGTACATTGTAGGCTCTGCTTATCCATACAGTTAGCTTTCCTGTTGCCATAGCCACTCACTTGTTTGAGATGTGTAATATGTTGTCTCCTCCTAGGGGTAGCCGGAGATCATGCAACATGGAAAGGGTGAAAACTCCATCTTATACCCAGCTAAGCTGATTATAGCTTGTCTTCATAAACAGTCTGACCTGCTCCCTATCCAATAAAGCACCTCTCTGCTGTGCAGACCTAGTCAGAGAGTCTCACTCAAGCAGCAGACAGACCAAGATGCTGAGGGCAGGTGAAGAGTTGAGAAGAAATAGGGGTCACATCATTAGTGCAGGCGCATGACAGCAGAGCGTTGGTGTGGCCATGAGCCCACAGCAGGTTGTTTTGGGCCCAGTTTCCCCATTCCACCCAGCAGTTAGGTAATTCTTCATCAGGTTGTAAGTCATGGAGACTGCACTTCCAAGTAACCACACTTGGTAACCTGCTCCTTGATAGGCGATCCTGAGCAGCCACACAGCCAACTTTGTCTTTTGGTGTGGGGCTTTGGGAATTGTGCTTCCTGTGAATGTGTAATTTAAAATTAATGTCATCCTTACCTCAGACCTTCTCTCCATGATAGATATGCAGTAGTCATGGGAGGTAGGCGGGAGAGCCTTCTTTGGCCCACTTGTTTTTCCAAGTGCCACCTTAGCTTGATGATTTTTATCCTAAGATCCTTCTAAAAATGGCCTGTCCTTTCTGCCTGTCCTCCTCATTGTGTACTGAGTACTCTCTCCAGATTTACTAGCCTCACCTTTGTTTTCTAATCAAGAATGACTAGAAAACATATACTTCTGCATCAGCCATTAATCCTACATAAACTTTTCATCTCAATTGGTAGGCACTTGGTAATGAGTTCCAGTAGAGTATCTCCTTTTGTATGACTTATATGTTGTTTTAGTTTCAGATTTTTTTCTGGTTATGACTAAATATGCTCCTTTTTGTTGTTGTTATTGGGTTTTGTTGGGTTTTGCTTTTTGGTGATACTGGGATTTGAACTCAGGGCTTTGTGCTTGCAAAACAAGGGCTCTACCATTTGAGCCACACCTCCAGTCCATTTTACTCTGGCTATTTGGAAATGGGGGTCTCACGAACTGTTTGCCCAGGATGGCCTCAAACCAAGCTCCTCCCAGTCTAGCCTCCCAAGTAGCTAGGATTACAGGCATGAGCTACAGGCACCTGACTTGCTTCTTTTTAAAAAAAATTTTAAAAAATCATAGCTGGGCTCAGTGGCTCACTTCTATAATCCTAGGTAGTCAGAAGGCAGTGATCAGGAGGATCACAATTCGAGGCCAACCTGGGCAAAAAAGTTCAGGAAATCCCATCTCAACCAATAAAAAGCTAGGTGTGCTGGCACACGCCTGTCATCTCAGTTACCTAGTTAGTATAAATAGGAGGATGGTGGTCCAAGCTGGATTGGGCATAAATATGAGATCCTTTCCCAAAAATAGTGAAAATGCTGGGGGCATGGTTCAATTGGTAGAGCACCTGTCTAGCAAGCTCAAAGCCCTGAGTTCAATTCCAAGTCCACCAAAAAAAATTACACAGACATTCAATATAGAAAGTAGTAGTCTCCCTTGGAAAGATTTCTACCTTCTTTGAAAGAATCAGATGTTCTTTTGATTTATAACATAGAACTTGACCATTCCAAGTATGTTCAGCATACTTTTTCACTCTGTGGTGTACCATTCTGCTCTAACGCCCAACACGTTTTAACATACTCATAGTGTACGGTTGTATGGACTATAATTTAAAGAAATCCTTTTTTGGTGTCTATTATTTTAGTAACACAAATGGTGTTATAGTAAATATTCTTGTATGTATATATTTGTGTTCTTATAGTATTTCTCCAAGAAAAATTCCTACAAGAAGAATTGATTGTTAAAGGGTTAAATTTGGAGAACTATTACCAGATTTGACTTAACGATTCACCCTACCAACACTTAATGTGAGAGCTTATTTGGCCAAGCTCTTATTATCAACAGTGGCTGTTATCAACCATTTTAGCTCTGTCAGTCTGCTAGGTAAAAAATGATATCTCCTGTTGATTTATTGTTGCTGTTGTTTGGCTTTTTGGTTTTTGCTATTAAACTGAGTATCTTTTGAAATATTTATTGCCTTATTCCATTGAGCAATAGCAAAGCATTTTGCAGGTTAAGAGTTAAGTTTATCTGGGAGTGGTTTCCTGGGAGGGTGTTGATTGTTTTTACAAACCAAAGTAAGACATTTCCTGTGTATGTCCTCCACAGCAAACAGCGGCATAACAAACTCTGGCGATCTCATTCAGATAGTGACCTCTCAGACCACCATGAACCTATCTGCAAACCTGGGCTAGAACTGAACAAGAAGGAGATCACCACCTCCGCAGACCAGATTGCTGAGGTGAAGACCATGGAGAATCACCCACCCATACCTCCTGTCTTTGTGGAACATGTGGTCCCACAAGATGCAAATCAGAAAGGCCTGTGTACCAAAGAAAGAATGATCTGTTTGGAGTTCACTTCTAGGGAATTTCACACTGGACAGATTGAAGATGAATTAAACTTAAACGACATCAACGGATGCTCATCAGGGTGTTGTCTCAATGAATCAAAATTCCCTCTTGACAACTGCCATGCATCCAAAGCCTTAATCCAACCTGGGCAGACCACAGAAATGGTCAACAAATTCCCAGACTTAACAGTGGAAGATTTGGAGACAGACGCACTGAAAGCAGACATGAACGTCCACTTACTGCCTATGGAAGAATTGACATCGCGACTGAAAGACCTCCCCATGTCCCCTGATCCTGAGTCACCAAGCCCCCAACCCAGTTGTCAGGCTGAAATCCCAGACTTCAGTACAGATCGCATTGACTTTTTTAGTGCCCTAGAGAAGTTTGTAGAGCTCTCTCAAGAGACACGGTCTCGATCTTTTTCCCACTCAAGGATGGAGGAGCTGAGTGGAGGCAGAGGTGAGAGCTGTCGATTATCTGTAGTAGAAATAGCCCCTTCTGAAGGGACTGCTGATGACCAGAGAAGCAGCTCTTTGAGCAATACTCCCCATGCATCTGAAGAGTCTTCAATGGATGAGGAACAGCCAAAGGTAAGAACTAAAACTATTTGAGATTGTTATATTGACTTTTTTTCTTTTTGCAGTGCTGGAGTTCAAACTAGGGCCTCACATATGCTAGGCCAGTGCTGTACCTCTGAGCTTCACCCCACCCCTGACTTTATCTTTGATGTTAGTAAAGATTGAGGAAAATAGTAAGGGAAAGACAGTTCGGCTGAGATCTTCGTTGAAAACTAGGGTTTAAATATTTTTTAAATCAGTTCCCTTTTGAGAATTTCATCTTTTCAGGCCTCTTTATGTCATTTGAAGCACTTCTGAGAGGGGATGGCAGAAGAAAGGAATAGCCAAAACATGTCCTAAATGACAAGGAGAGGTATCCTCTGTGGACCTCAGCAATTCAGATAAAATCTCACCAAATCTCAGGCCAGGTACTCAGTTGCTGCCTGAGTTGAGACCCATGCCTCTGAGAAGATGAATTTGTTTTAGGAAACTATTTTTTTCTTTTTGGTGGCACTGGCGTTTGAACTCAGGACCTCACCCTTGCTAGGCAGGCACTCTTACTGTTTGAGCCACTCCACCAGACTGGGAAACTCTTTTTGTCTCTGAAAATTCACAGGCTAGGCATGTGTAAATAATTGCTGAAATAGCAACTGATTCCCACGTGAGCTCTTGCTATTAGTAATGTCCCCGAATCTTTCATCTCCAGCCCTGTGGCACTCAAGAACCAAGGGTTGGGTTATGGAAATTAAGAAAATATAAGAACAGACAGAAGCCTGAGACTCTTAGGTGACATATGATTTCTTATAAGCCATCTCAGACCAGGAAAAAATATATGTATCATTAAAAAAAATTGAGAGCGGGAGGGTTGAAACAGTGTCTCATATGTAACCCAGGCTGGCCTCAGACTCCTGATCCTCCTGCCTCATCTTCCTAAGTACAGGGATTAAAGGCCACCATGGTTTGGCTTATATATCACCAATTCTAAGACTTGTACTTATTTTCATTTTGACCATTCTGAAATAGGATGCATCTTATAAACAGTGGTTTCTTATATCAATGCCATGCAAGCAGTAGTTGCAGAATAAATGGCGGCAGATTTACTCTAACATACAAAACTTCACTCAGTGATTTTAATGGAGCTGATTAGATGCTTGACATCTCCTGATTTCTGCTTAAATTTATCCCACCTTGTCCATGATTCATTTGTTCTCTCTCTCCTTAACTACCCCAGGGCAACTCTTGCTTCTGCTTTTCTCTCCTCCCCAAAGACTAAGCCTCTGTTTTGTTTCTGCTGGGAGGTCAGAATGCTTGAATTCTCCTTTTGGACCAATCATTGCAATAGGACTGACAGAAATAGCCTTCTTCCAGTGTCCTTGGTCATATGAGTACTCTCTCCATGGCTCATGCATATACCAGGACTACTATGGCTTCTCTCCAGTCTTTGCAAGTTCACCTGTGCCTGATGTCCTGGCAGATTTTTTCCAAAGGCAAACTAACCTTGTTGGTTTGTATTAACTCTGATTCTCTTTTGAAGGAGAAGACCAGAACAATTCTTAGAGAAATACTGTACTTGGAAGTTTTACATGAAATTGTTAACAAACTAGATTGATGGTTTTACTGATCCTACTTTAAGAGGTACCCAGGGGCCATTTCCAGATTTTGAAATTCATAATTTTTATAGCAGGATGTGATTTTGCATTGGCCAGTTTGGTTTGGGCCTTATTGTGAACCCATCTGGGAGTTTTGAACTGAAAGAAGAGTAAAATGTTTCAGAGTGATTGTTTCTAAGTTTGCTGAGGCACATGGCTGAATATGCCAAGCAAATCTTTTCCAGAAGGAGCTATATGAAACTTAGGGATTGTGTGGTCACGGAGTGCTTTCTTCCTGCCCTTATGTGCTGGGATGCTGCTGCTAAGAAGAACAGTGGACGGAGGTAGATAAAAGCTAGCACAGGAGAGAACAGTGGATCCCCAAAGCAGATATCAGATGACACCCACATCCATATTTCAGTGTCTCACATTGGGCATATCTAAGCTGGCCACTGGGCCTTTGAATGGAACTCTTCACCCTGAATAAGTTAGTAAGTTGATTGGCCAGAGGAGGAGGATTTCATTTACCTTAGTAGGGCCTGAGTCCTAGAGGCTTTTAGACCTAGGAAAATATGGAATATATGAGTCCCCAAAGCTATTTGCTATTCATTTTAGAGCAAGGTACTGGATTAGAATCCTGCTTAAGGGAACAGATCAGAAAGTTTATTAGACGGTGATATAACTTATAATGGGAGTATTCTACCTCTGGCATTGATGAATCCCTTTTTTTTTTTTTTTTTTTCTAGCCATCTGACAAAACAGTGGGCAGTATGGTGCTGGACATTTCATGACTTGTGTTCTTATAGCCAGATAGAGTCTCCCAGATAGGAAAGTGAATAAGTAGAACACTAGCATTTTCAATTAGGCTGTAATTTGGCATAATCGTTTCACTGTTTTCTGTTCTTAGGCAATCTCAGAACTGGTCAGCCCAGACATCTTCATGCAGTCTCACTCAGAAAATGCAATTTCAGTCAAAGAAATCATCACTGAAATTGAGTCTATCAGTCAAGGGGTTGGGCAGATTCAGCTGAAAGGGGACGTCCTATCCAACCCATGTCATACACCAAAGAAGAGCACCATCTATGAGCTACCCTTTGAGAGGACCCAGGTTCCCGAGAACAAACCTGAACACTTGGAGCAGGATGACAGTTTCTACACAGCTCAGTCTGAACTAGCCAAAGACTCAGGGAAGTGCAACCCAGAAGGCTGCCTAACCACACACTTATCCACAGCAGACTTGGAAGAAGAGGACCCAGCTGAGGAAGAGCATGAGCTCTGGGGCCCAGGGATGCACCCTGATGCTAAGTGGTGCCCTGGGTCTGTGAGGCGAGCCACACTGGAGTTTGAAGAGCGCTTAAGGCAGGAGCAAGAACACCATGGTACTGCCCCTGCATGTACCTCATTGTCCACTCGCAAGAATTCTAAGAATGATTCTTCTGTAGGAGACTTAGCACCAAAAGGGAAAAGTGATGATGTCACCTCAGAACACTCATTTGCCCCTAAGGAACCAGAGATGAGCAAGGACAAATTGAAATGCAGTGGGTCTGCAGCTGGCTCACTATCCCATTGTGAGCAGAATGCCATTGTTTCAGCGCCTGAACTGCCAGAGTATCACCCCTGGCTAGCTCCCCAGACATGCCTGGGGTCAGATGCTAGAACAAAGCAGGAAGGCGTTCTGAAGGAGCAAAGGACTGTGATTTCATACCAGGGACTTAAGTCACAGGCCAGCTCTCTTCCCCTTTCCAAAAGGATAGAAATCATTGAGTATACCCACACAGTTACGTCACTTGACCACGCTGGGCCAGGGCCCAGTGAAGAGGGTGAGGAACAAGGACTGAGGAAGATGAAGGTGGAGAAATCTGTCACTATGTTCTGTTCACTGGATGAAAATCTGAACAGGACTCTGGACCTCAACCAGGTTTCTCTGCACCCCCAAGTGCTACCTTTGCCTCATTCTTCTTCTGAGTACAACAGGCCCACTGACCTGACCTCCCTGCTAAGCAGCCCTGAAAACAGGGACAACAGCCCATCCATAGCCCTGGAGACAACACCTTTTGTCACTTGCACAACCCATGTACCACCTACCAACTTAGATTACCTGCATCCCCAAACCGTGGTTCACCTGGAAGGCTGCACAGAGCAAAGCAGCATCACAGACAGTAAGCCCACTGCAGGGCAATTTAACTGGGAAGAAAACCAGGAAGGCCTCCTCTCTACTAGCAATGAAGTGCCACATAGGGGCTCCCAGTTAAGTAGTGAAGAACTGTGTTTAATTAGCAAATTCAGTGACAACATTAGGGAAGTACAAAAAAAACTGGACCCATCACCTGTGGCCTGCCAACTCCCACATAGCTCTATTGGCCCTGGTGTGAAAGAGCGTGCTAAAGAAATCGAGTCCCGAGTGGTTTTCCAGTCAGGGCTTACAAAACCATCCCAAATGAGGCGCTCAGCTTCTCTCGCTAAGTTAGGTTACCTGGACCTTTGTAAAGACTGTTTACCAGAGAGAGAGCCTGTCTTCTCTGAATCCCCTCATCTCAAACTGCTTCAGCCCTTCTTCAAAACAGACTCAGGCATGCATGCCATGGAGGCTCAGGAGTCCCAAGAAAACCCAGGTGCCCCCCAGAACCCAGAGCCCACCAAGTATTTTATAGAGCAGCTCAGAACAACAGAGTGTATTGCACAGAGCAAGCCAGTGGAGAGGCCCCTTGTGCAGTATGCCAAAGAATTTGGTTATAGTCAACAGTGTTTGCTCCCCAGGGCAGACTTGGAATTGACTAGTTCTGAAGGAGGCCTTCCTTTGCAACAGACCCAGGGACTGCAATGCACAGGCCCAGCTCCAGGACTGGCCGTGGCACCCCGTCAACAACACGGCAGAACTCACCCCCTTCGGAGACTGAAAAGGGCAAATGATAAAAAACGGACAACCAACCCCTTCTATAACACCATGTGATTCTGAGCCTATACATGTGATTTTCTAAGAGAAATCTTTGTAAAAGGGGCAGGTGTAATATGTAAGGAACATGCACTTTATTGGTTAATTTTATAATATTTTGGTCATTTTACTGTTCCTGGCACATGCAGGGTGTGTGTGTGTGTGTGTGTGTGTATGTGTGTGTGTGTGTGTGTGTGTGTGTTTATGAGGAGAGAGATTGTTTAGATGGCAAGACCATTTTACCATTTTTTACTTTTTAAAAAATTCAAACCTCAAAAACAAACATTTTCAAAGAACACCTTTATCAAAGGCAAATTGCTGTTTTTCAGTCAACTGCCACCTGCTCCTCATCTTGTCCTCTGAGAAAAGGCATGCTTGCTTGCTTGCTTGAGGTGAAGGAAGCAGATGGGGACAGAGGCACTGAAGCAGAGAACTGGAAATGTTCCCCCAAGCTTGAGGCGTTGGATGGGCTGAAGGGCTGCTTGAAAGTCAGTGCCCTCGGCCTACATCTCCAGCCCTAGCCCTTTGGACTTCTTGAAGTGTTCATTCTGCTTTGCTTTTTTTTTTGGACAGGTCTTGCTATGTAACTCAGCTGACCTGGCCTCAAACTCTCAAACTCTCCATCTGAGTGCTGGGATTACAAGCACGCTCCAACCACACCCAGCTCTGCTTTGCTTTAAAAAGGAGTCTTCTAGAATCCATTTCTTCTGGTATTCCAGAATGTATCATTATAGAAAGGCATGATAATGGCTGCCTTTGTGTATTTAACAAGCATATGCTTTTTCCCCAAGAGAATTTTTAAAATTAAATTAAAAGGGAACCCCACGTGAAATCTGAGAGGTCTTCTGAAGAGGAAAGCACAAGAGGATGTAAAGTTGAGAGTGGAGAGGCTGATGCCTAGTATTAGAATTGGTGGGATCCATACAGGTCATCCTGGCCCTCCCTGCCAGAAAATGTCCTCTGCAACATCCTCCCAACTAAAACATAATGGAGACTAACTTGAAAAACAGCAATCAAAAGTCATTGTGTTCTTGTAAAATGAATATATATGTAGGGTTTTAACCCTTTCATTACTTGAATAATTCTGTGGGCCTTCTGAGTTTAATGGCCATATATTTTTCCAATTTATTTTCCTCCTCCTCACTGTTTGCCCCAACCTGCCTATGTTTTTTAATTTCATAGATTATATTTGAATTGTTACATTACATATGTATAACCTCCATTGAATGCAAAGTTTTCTATATTATCATTGTTAACACTTGACGTAAGTTGTTTTTTTTTTTTTCCTCTTCCTGGAAAGTTTGTCATTACTCTAAAGTTTATACAGTATTTATGTACATAATGTCACTTTCTTAATATTTTATTGTTGATGTTGTGGGGTCTTTTTCATTCTTTTCAAGGAGTAGAGTTGCAACTGGAAAACACAAGGAACACCAGAAATAAAACTGATAGCTGTCGATAGGAATCTGCATAGTATATTGATGGTGGTTTTAATTGTTTAAATGGAGACTTGTAATCACTAGCTCCTACCAAATTATGTATTAGTAACTTCCTTCTCAGAGAAACTCCTGGAGGTTCCCTAATATTAGATCACAATGTGACTGAAGGCTGATTTCTGCTTGAGACTAAAATCACAGGACATTGTTTGCCAATAGCTGAAGCACAGCCAGGGAGTATGTACGTGTTGCCCAGAGTGGAGGCAGAGAGGCCACAGGGGAGGCCTTGGCCAAGGGCAAGCACTCATAATGAGTCCATTTAGGATGCTTTGCTTTGCTACTTTGTGGAGATCTTAACACAAAGGCACCTGCCATAAACAAGTCTCTTTGATCTTCTTACAGAAAACATATTTAGCCTGGAATGAAACACCCACCAGAGCTCATCAAAACTGAAGAGGTTTGCAAATTTACCTCCTGTTTGCTTTGGTTGATGTCCACACTACTGATGTGTACATCTTCACTCATCCTGAGGCTGAGCACAGACTAGAGACTTAGGTTTTTGGTTCATCACAGCACTGAGAGGAAAAGACAGATACACAGACTGTCAAAGTGATAATAGAGGCCAGTTTGGAGGAGGCAGATAGTAGGGTACAGAATAGGTGAACTGAGACCATTTGTAGGTGCTCCAGAGCAGCTATGGATCCATTCGCCAAATGGAAGCCCTGGTTTGGTCTGACATCACTCCCGGGAAGCAGGTTGTTCAAAAATCACCTGCTAAAGGTATATGGTATAGTAGTCATGTGTACCTGTGCTGCCCTTTCAGTAGTTTCTTTAAAACTCTCTGCTTTGTGATACCTGGATATTTATGTGTTGTTAAGCATTTTATTAGGTGGTATGTACAATGTGAGAAAACTTGCAGGACGGGGTGATGAATTCTAGGGCTCATCCATCTAAACCACCTAGTTTGCTGAGGTAGTTCTACCACCAGTATGTTGGGGAAAGGACAAGAAATTGAGGTAGGGTAGGGGTAAGGAGGAGAGGCTTGCATGGAGGTTAAGAGAGTAGCATCCACATTCCACACATTAAAAAGTACAAGCAGCATCAGCAACAGCACACGGTTCCCTCTTCTCTCCTGCCGCTGTGTAATGCTCACGCTTACTGCATTAAATACCACAAAGACTAGGAGGAAATCCTCAATGCTAGGGAGAAAAAACCTTTTTTTAAAAAAAGAATGTAAGAAACACTCTTTCTCTGCCTTTTTTTAATTACATTTTTTACCATTTAACTTACCTGTCTAAATAAACATCTACACAGGGTCTGTGATCCAACTATGCCAAGGGGTCTTCGCAGCCCTCCACATCCCCACATTTGGGTGTTCATGACTTATGTATCTGGCTGTATAATGTCCATGGAAGGTGGGTAATGAAACTATTGAAGACTTTTCAAACTTTCCTCTCTTCAGACTTTTTGGTAATTTCAGGTGGCCAGTTTCTCTTTTCTATTCATGGAAAACCCAGACTTGAAACAGCAAGTTTGGTAGATAGCAGAGTTGAGCAGAAAAAATCTTGACCTTTTGTGAAGTGCTTAACTTCTTATCCAATAGTTGTTTGTCTTTTTTTATGTGTGTGAAGACTGCCATAGTCTGTCAGTAATAACTCTGAAGGGTGTGTGTGTGTGTGTGTGTGTGTGTGTATTGGCATTTCAGTGCTTGGAATAAAAGCCCCAGGAGCACTCAGGATTGGAGCTGTAATTGGATAGTTACCTGATCAGTAGAAGAGAAATCCTAGCTCTTTCTTGACTTTTGAAAACACTTAGCAGTAGTGAGTACTTTAGTAGACGGATAGTACTATAGTGGGGTAATATTCATCTCTCCTCATTTTGTTTACCTCTTAGAGTCTGTTTAGAACGTTTGGAATCATTCCTAGCTTCTCGGCCTCCTCAGGCTTTTTAGTGTTTTCCTAGTTCTGTACCTTTGTCCCAACTGGCATTTCCTCTTTCTCATTGTAGAAACTACCAATAGCTCCAAGGACAGCCTGTTGATGACAACTCAGGCTCTATGATCCCTTCCTGCTCATGGGCCCCAACTGTTGGGTAGACCTGAAGCTTCCCATAAGAAGAATCTTAGACATATCAGCTCACAAAAGTCTTCACCTGCTTCATTTAAGGATTTCAGTTCTGTGATCTAAGGCATGTTTGGTAAAGATGTTTTAGGGAGGGTTTTTTCTTTTTTTCCTAAGAAAGCGTTATGCAAAAAGGGTCACTTTTAAAAAGGGCATTTTAAAATAAAGCCATTTTGGGGCTTTTTCAGATAACTATGGATACTTTGTTTACATTGTGAGTATTAAAAAAATGCATCATCGTATTGGCCACTCAGTCCTCCAGGCACCCAGGCCTTGGCTGTCCTGCGAGTCCCCACTCAGAGCAATGCCATAATGTCAGCCCTTGTGGGTAAGTGGGTAAAGCCTGGAGCTGCCTTCCATCTGTGTCCTGCACTCCTGTCCAGTAGTCATCATTTCTTCAGTGATTGTGTTTTATAGTGATGATCGTAATGGTAAATGGCTAGTATGGTTTTAATTTTGTTTTGCTTTTTTGATTGTAGACAAGTTGAAATTTTAGTTGTTTCAGCACCAATCCAACTTCAAAGTATTGTGGACTTTGTTTTCCCTTACAAACTAAAAGATCAAGGCATGTATTAGACATAAGAATATTTGTTGTCTCAACACATCCAACACCCATATTAGGAAAAGGCCTGCATCAAAGCGGGAAGCTGCACAATCCTCTCTCCCAGTGACTGGGGTCCTTTGACGCCATGGAGAGCTATTGCAAGGTGCTTCTGTACTTTTCCCTCCTGGAAGTGGAGGATGAATGGGCCTGGCTTCTGCTATGAAAAGAGAACCAGCCTCATCTTCTCAGTGCCCCAGAGATCTAAGACAGAATTTCTAAACTGGAACCATCCCTTAACAGCTTGAAGACCCCCCCACACACTCAGGAGGTATCCAACTGGTGCTGCCATCCGTGTCCTCAGTAGCAATGCTGGTGGCAGCGTCCTGTGTACACAAGCAGAACTGATACCCAAGGCTTAACTCAAGCCGATGACCCAAACTGAAAGCTGGGGGACTGGTCCTGAAATGCCTCCTAACCAATAAGCCCACTTGGAATTATTTGGTTTATATATTTGTTGGATTTTGGTTTCCTTGGCATAGCTAGAGGTGCCTTTCCTTTTTTCTTTTTTTCTTTTTTTTTAACTTTATTTTGTAGGACTTGTTCTAAATATGGAAAACAAGTCTAGGAGACTCTCCCACTGACTGTTACCTTTGCCCCAGGCTACCCCAAACTTTAATGCTCACATTTTATTAAATAAAGCAGGTGCTCCCTGGAATCTCTGGGACCTTTTTGAGGCATTTGAAGCAGAATATAAAGAGTGGTCTCATCTCCTTCCTTAATCTTCCTGGTGGTTGGGATGTTCCACTTGTATCATAGAGGTTTTTTTTATTACTGATGTGCTCAGCTGTTTTTAAATGTGAACTTGTGCGCAAATGTGCAGATTCAATGTTCTTGTTACAGATTGAATAAATTTTTATTTTGAAGATGAAATGTGTGCTTCTTCAAGTGCAACACAGGAGTAGATGCTGGAGAAGGTGAAAGGGTTGGAAGAGAACCCTGATAAGAAACAGAATGGGTGTTGCTTATTGACGAGCAGAGGCAAGCACACCCTTAAGAGCTCTGTGGAAGCTGGGTGTTGGTGGCTCACACCTAATATTCCTAGCTACTTGGGAGGCTGAGATGGGAGGGATTGAGGTTCCTGGCCAGCCCCAGAAAATGGTTCATGAGACCCCCATCTCCAAAAGAAACAAGAACAAAATGGACTGGAGGTGTGGATCAAGCAATAGAGTGCCTGCTTTGCAAGTGGGAGGCCCTGAGTTCAAATCTCAGTCCCACAAAAAAAAAAAACCTCTACAGAAAAAAAAATACAAAATAAAAAACTGGATAGGAGATAGGATCCACTAAAATTATTGCAGACAGTGTGGCTCCAATCAAGTGACCAAGCTGGGAACTTGCCTGATCAAAGAGGCATTTGCCAAAGCTGCCACCTGAATGTTAGGAGAATGAATAAGCAAAAGGACCAAAATTATTCTACCATCTGTGGTGCAGAGTGACTGGTGTGGGACAGCTGCAAAGACCTGCTCCAGCAGAGAATAGAGTGACCACTCTGGACATTAGTGAGAGCTACAATCTTTGGGCACAAGGCACCTCAGCACACTGAAAGAAAGGGGACATGAATTTCCAAAGAAGTAAAAGCTTTAGGGCTGGGGGCATGGCTTACATGGTAGAGTACCTGCCTAACAAGCATGAGACCCTGAATTCAAACCCCAGTATCACAACAACAACAAAATGTAGATTTCTGGGTTGGGGGTGTTTTGCAAGAGGCCCTGGGTTTGATCCCCAGGCATCACAAAAAAATAATAAATAAAAAGCTTTAACCCTCTCCCACTATTAGAAGAGAAACACATAGTTCAAATCCCAGTACTGCCAAAGAAAGAAGAAAAAACCTATGACATCAGTGGTGCAGGAGGGAGATGGAGCCAAGGGTAGTTGGGGTCCCCACTTCTACCTTTCCACAGATCCATCATGAGATGTTTAATGGTGCCATCCATCATGTATAAGAAAGCACTACTATCGAGGGAGAGCTCGTTTTCTACTTTCCCAATTGCCAACCAAATTTGCTGAAGCTTCCAGAAAAAACACTGCTTTGTCAGTCTACTTCATTCTAAATCGTTCACGTCACGCGGGAGGGGTACAACACTAGTCCCAAGAGGGAGTGCATGATGGTGATAGTGAGGTCACAAAATATTCTAGGAGTGTTTGGGGGTCCCTGACCAATCTAGTAAGCTCAGTCTTGGCTTTCTAGCTAAAGCAAATGGACCAAATCATGGCTAAGTTGCCAGGCCACCTCGTCCAGAAAACGGTCTCATGAAGTTAAAGCTGAGCCTGTCCCCAATGGATTACAATTCAGCGCCCAGCTAACAGTTCTAACTCGAGGCACCAAGCCCAAATGTCTCTTCCCCTGATTGGCGAGGCCTTGGCCCCGCCCTCTACCAGACCTTGCAGTCAGAAGAGGGCTTGAAGACTAGACTGAAGCAGTCAGGCCTCAGCAAATACTTGCGGATCCCAGCAAATACTTTACCCAGAGAGCACCACCCATTCCCAGATGACAGAACTGAAGGCTGGATGGACTGAGGGATTCCTACTTCCTAGTCCCTCATCCCTCCCTCTAGAAAGTTCTCTTTAAAGTGGAGGGAAGAGGAGGGGTGCCATTTCAGAGTAGGTGACAGAGCATTAAATCTCTGCCAACGAGTAATGCAGTTAGAACTTGATACAGTTCTCTTCATTTTACATCCAGAAAACTGTAAAAATAGCGTGACTGAGCCAGAACTGGAACCTGTTTTTTAATTCGTCAGGCAATCCTTTGTGCCATGCAGCATAAGTCTGAGTGTCAGCATTTGTGAGAAAAAATGGCACTGCCCTTCAAGGAAAAGTAAAAGTACATGGTGTTGAAAGCAAGGACCCAGATGCCAGACCCTGGGACAAGAATCTCAGCTCCATTAACCACCAGTAAGGGATGGGTAATCTACTTAACCCCTTTGTGCCTCAGTTTCCTTGCCTGTAAAATAGAACAGTACTCATCTCTGAAAGCTGTTACCAGAATGTTATTAATATGTATAAAGCCTCTAGAGCAGTGACTCATAGTAAGTGGCAGTACTGGGAAAGCTATTATTATAAAGGGGTAACTGAGTCACTCAGGTCTTCTCTTCCTCACCATGTACCTAGAACCTTCAGGTAAGATTCCTCATCCATCCTCATGCCATGAATTATTTCTGAAGCACCATCTAACAATTTGTAATTCTATTCCCCTGGACTCTTCCTGAGAAACAAAGAAGTCTTGTGAGGACCCTCGTGGTTTCCACCATCTTTCTTCCCCCTTACTTCCAATACTGGCTTCTGTCCTCCAGAAGTCCGTGTCCTGTTGATTCCAGGCATACCCCCAGAAAACAGGAAATAATATCTGGCCCCTATGATGAGAGGGAAGAGACTGGTTTGCAGGCTTTGGGTAAACAGCAACTACAGGTACCGGTTCTTCACTGGCATTATTTTGGTCAGGTTACTTCTTATCTCCTTGATCTTGAATAATATTCAGATCTGTGAGTGTCAGGGGCTGTTATTCCCTGGACCACAGTCAGACATCATACCAAACAAGGCCGGGAGGACAGTAGGTAGGAGTCAGGCTAAACATCAACCTCTAAGCTGGCTACTCTGACCCTTAAAATGTAGCTAAAGACCTGTGCCAGCCTCTTCCCCTTGAACTTGGTGCTGAGGAGTGGAGGTCAAAGTGGATTCACTTTTCTCCCCTCCCTGGTCTCTAAGCTGTTTCCGGCTCTGCTCCATGCAATCTTATAACAGGACGAAACGCTTAGCAGAGCGCCAGCGTTTTAGGTTCTCAAATGATCGCTATTGCTATTAATAATAACTACCATTCACGGCCTCTTGGAGAGCACCCTCGCAGTTGCCCTCGGCCACCTTACGCCCTCATCCAATGAGAGTTCCCCCAGAGCTTCTTTTGGGGTCTCTTCTCAGCCGGGACTGGCCATGCAGTCCCGTAATCCGGGCCAGCCGGGACCGGCTAAATTGGGACGCGATTGCGGCAGGAATGCGGCGCGAAGGCACCTGATCTGGCGCGGCTGCCAGCTCTAGGGGCGCGCGCCCCCTTTCCGGCTCCCTGTCTCGATGCCTCCCTTGGAGTCTGAGAACCAGCCTACCCGGGGGGCGCGGAGGGCGGACGGGGTACACACACACACACACACACACACACACACACACACACTCACTTACTTCTGACTTCTTATACAGGCCCGCAGACATTGTGAGCAGACTGGGGCGCAGGACTTTCCCGCCGCTGGAGGGGGCGGGCCCGCTTTCATCCTGGCTCCGCCCACTCGGAAGCCCCGCCCCCTACGGCTGATGGCAGCGGCAGCTGGGACTGCAGCGCAGCCCGGCCCTGGAGAGCCGCAGGCAGCGGCCCGAGCAGGCAGCCCAACACCCAGGCCCCAGACGCCGCGGACACCCGGAGAGGCTGCTCTGGTGCCCTGACGCCCTCCTCTTCCCCCAGCGCAGCCCCGCCCGCTCCGCAGAGGAGTCGCCGCGTGAGCACCCGCACACACCCGGCTGCGGACCAGGTACCCCCCACGCCTCCAACAGCTGCTAGCGGAGCGGGCGGGGTCTCTGGAGGGGCAGAGGTCTGGAGGGGGTCTCCGGAGGGGCGCAGAACTCTGCCCCTCCCCCCTCCGCCGAATTCGGTTGGGGCAGGGCGGACTTGGTGTCTATATTTGGCCGGACAGCGGCCCGCGCGCACACACCTCGTCTCACAAGAACGCAGTGCCGGACAGGAGGCCGGAGGAGGGTGCGGGTAGTCAGGGCCTCAGGCCTGGGGCCGCAGAAGCGGCTTGAAGGGCACAGAGGTGCCCGGGGATGAGCAGGGGCTGGAGACAGTGCGACTTTGAGAGAACTTGGGGTGTCCCCTGGGAAAGAGAGTAGCATAGCTCAGGCCCTGGCTAGGGAAAAAGCACCTCACCTCACCCTCCCCACCCTTAGAAGTCTGGTCCTGGCGCTGAGGTGGAGGACCCAACTCCAGGAGAGTTTACTAGGGAGAAGATTCAAGAGAGGAGAGGGCACCCACTGAGAATCTAAACCAAAGTAGGGTATGCAAAAGCCAGAAGACTATGGTTAGGGCCTCTTGGAGTAGCCAATGCAGGATGGAATGGAAGAAGGAATCTACCTTGCTCTGAGCCTTCCCCCAACCCCATCCCCAACAGCTGTGGAGGAAACTGATGAAAACAGTACCTGCAAAGACTCAGGTTAGCTGACAGGAGGAACCTCTCCCTTGGCAAATTTTTAGAAAAAGGAAAAACTCCATCTGCCTGAATTATGCCAGAGACGTGAATTCAGGATCACGGGAGCTACAGTCCTAGCTCCATACTGGCCTTGAGCTATGATCCAATGGCCAAGGCACCTGATTCTAGACTGGGTGCATCTAGGAGATAGTAGCATTTTGTCAAGAGATGCTCATCCCAACGCCAGCAGTTAGAAGGGAGCCTGGCATTGAGACTCCTCTCCAAAACATTTTATCTTCCAAGTAACTTTCAGCCCCTATCAGGCTCCACTATCCTCCCAGCCTGGGTCTCTAAAGTGAGGTCAGACCCCACATTAAACAGTATTTGTGCTGGACACCATAGCTCACACCTGTAATCCTAGCTATTTGGGAGGCAGAGATCAGGAGGATCAAGGTTAGAGATCAGACTGGGCAAATAGCATGAGAAACCTCATTTTGAAAATACCCAACACAAGAAAAGGCTGGCAGAGTGGCTCAGGTGATAGAGCATCTACCTAGCAAGCATGAAGTCTTGATTTCAAACCAATATGACCAAAAAAAAAAATTGACAGGTGGCAAAGAACTGTCCATCCTTTGATCACCTTGAAGAAATGTCCCTGTTTCCCTGCTGACTCTGGCCAGATAACCCTTCTCACCTCCTTCCTCCCACAGCTCACAGAACTAAGGACCAAAGGCACTTCCTCTATCTACCCCAGAGATGAGCCGGCGTGTGGTTCGGCAGAGCAAGTTCCGCCATGTGTTTGGGCAGGCAGCAAAGGCTGACCAGGCCTACGAGGACATCCGGGTATCCAAGGTCACATGGGACAGCTCCTTCTGTGCCGTCAACCCCAAATTCCTGGCCATTATTGTGGAGGCTGGAGGCGGGGGTGCCTTCATCGTCCTGCCTCTGGCCAAGGTAAAGGATGAGGGAAAGGAAGCAAATGGGAGGACACTGACTGGGGCCTCTGGGACCTCCTGACAGCAACCTGAATTCTCACCTAGATCCATTCATCAGTTAGGAGGGCAGTTCTGTGGATTTTGCTGCTCCCTGTTCCCCAAGCCCTTAAGGACTGGTGGGGATACTCTCCCCCCACCCTGAGCAGCAGTGTCACTGTGGCCATCCACCTCTCCATGCAGCACCCTGTTCCAAGCAGGAACCAGGATGGGAGTCCTGTGGTAGAGATAATCAGGATGCAGCTGAGCCAAAGCCAAGTCAGATTCTGTCCCTTTCTCTCCTAATGCCAACCCCCTCATATTTGGGGACTGAAGATCCTCCTCCTCAGCCCATGTGACCATTTGTTTAAATCATATCCCAGAGCAGCACACTGAGGACAGGATCAGGCTCTATCCAAAGGGTTTCTGGCACCTCCCTATTCTGGTCTGGCAGTGGAGTGAAATGAGAGTAGAAGGTAAGGGCATAGCACATAAGGCCAGAGCCCTCCCTTCCCTAGAGAAGGGGACCAGGCAGTGACTGCCACTTTTGTGAAGTACCCTCAAGACCTTTCACCATCTCCACCCCCACACCCCAAAGCATGACCTTGACCAGGATTCTGGCTCCTATACTTTGTTAGGGGAGACTCCACAAGTGGCAGGGTCAGGAAGAGACCCGACAATAGCCCGTGACTCACCCCAGACAATGCAGACACCATCCAGAGACACCATCCCCAGGGCTCAAATTTCAGCTAGAGCCACCTCTTCCCCCAGTATGGCTGCCATTTCATGCCACATAGCCACTTCTGTCCCCTACTGCCTGGTCTAGGTCAATGCCAGCCCCAGCAGAGGCCTCAGAGCCCCTACAAGCAGCTCATGAAGACCAAAAATAGTTGAGCCCCTGTTAAGGAAAATAGGACCCAGGATTGCCTGTTGCTTGTGGTTCCAAGGTGAAGCCAGTGACAAAAGAGAGACCTGCCAAGGGTGGCTAGGAGCACTGCACTATGAATTACCTCACCTTGACCTCTTCCACCAGGGGCTTCCAACAGACATTCCAATTGGGGGAACAGGCTCAAGACACTCTTGTCAATATGCACACCCATGATCCCAGCACTTGGGAGTCTGAGTCAGGAAGATCACAAGTTTGAGGCCAGCTACATAGACAGCCCTTGTACAAAACAAACAGACACAGCAAACAACAACAAAAAGAACAGCTTTCTCCAAGTAGATGTCTTTTGAAGATCACAAGACTGAGAGTTCATCTGGATTCTACTAATATCTTGCTGTGGGTCCTTGAATTAGTCAGCTTACCTCTATCAAATTCCCTAATATAAATGATCTCAACCCTCTGCCTTCAGCAAAGTTCAGGGAATGAAGAGGGAGGTCTGCAAAAAGAAAATAAATGATATAGGACTAAAATATGAACAGATCTTCTGCTCATCCAAAAACACACGGGATGAGCTGATGATGTCACTGAGTGGTAGAGTGCACAGCTAGCATGTGCAAGGTACTGGGTTAGATCCCCAGCACAGCAACACACACGCATACACACACATACAGCAAAGTGACCCCATATCTCCCACTCTGACCCCTCCAGACAGGACGAGTGGATAAGAACTACCCACTGGTCACTGGGCACACAGCCCCTATTCTGGACATCGACTGGTGCCCACACAATGACAACGTCATCGCCAGTGCCTCCGACGACACCACCATCATGGTAGGAGCCAGATGGATGCTGGTCAGGGGAACAGGGTGAGCTGACTCACCTGTGCTGGGGAAGGTGACAGGGAGGCTCAGAATCACAGAGCCCTGCCTGCCCTGCCCTGCCCAGCTCCCAGGCTATTTTTAACTACATGCCCTCTCCCTCCCAGGATGCACTGCTTATAGGACTAATTATAGCCATGGACAACTTGGGGCCCAAAGAGCAGGGGGACAGTGCTCTGATGTCACCTGCTGGAGTGAATGGGGAGGTCTCTGGAGAGCTGGCAAAACCCCTTCCTGGTTCCCAGCTGTTTCTGCCTAGTCAGGCACTACCACATCTTGTCCTGTATTTGACCCTTACTATTCAAGAGAACCAGTAGGGCTATGGTGGCGGGGGAGGGGGGGGGAAGCTAGTTCCTTATCCTGCCTACCCTTTGCCTTTTCCTCCTACCTAGGTGTGGCAAATTCCAGACTATACTCCTGTGCGCAATATTACAGAACCTATCATCACCCTTGAGGGCCACTCCAAACGTGTGGGCATCCTCTCCTGGCACCCTACTGCCAGGAACGTCCTGCTCAGTGCAGGTGTGGAGGTCTAGGGAGGGTCCCAACAGTAGATGAGGGTGGGAATGGCAAAGGCAGGGCCCAGGTGACCATGCCTGGCCACCCTGGACAGGTGGTGATAATGTGATCATCATCTGGAATGTGGGCACGGGAGAGGTGCTGCTGAGCCTGGACGACATGCACCCTGACATCATCCACAGCGTGTGCTGGAACAACAATGGCAGCCTGCTAGCCACTACCTGCAAAGACAAGACTCTGCGCATCATTGATCCCCGGAAGGGCCAAGTGGTAGCGGTGAGTGCATAGCCACTCCCTGGTAGCCCTTACCTAGTGACCAGCTGTTAGCACCCTGTGCCCACAGTCATCAGAGCCCTGGTCCCAGCTTTCACCAGTCCCATGCCCCGCAAGTCTGCAACCACAACCCTAAGTAAACCCCTAGCTTGCAATTCTTTGCCCTGTTCCTGTTCCCTCCCCTCCACTGCATCTCAGAAGCTCAAAGGAGGGCTCCTGGCTTTGAGACAGAGGAGGGGGGATACTGGAAACTCCATCCTTCCACCATAATCTGCATGAAACCTGAGCTCCAGGACCCTCTCCTCTCAGCTGGCACTCAGCGCCATCTTCCAGGGTCTGGAGCCTGACCACAGGCTTGATGGCTGGACCCCTTCCCACCCTTGTTGACCCTGCTGGGCTGGACTGGGGCAACCCTTGCGCGTTGCCTGTCCCAACTAGGTGCCTGGGAAGGGCAGTGGCCCTGGCCTCACCCACCATCCTTAATCTAACCTGGGTGCGGGGCCGTGTGCATGTCTGCATGCAGCGGGTGAGCGCGTGTGGCGCGGCCCGGGACGGATGGGCTGACGGGCGCTCTAACCCACTAACCCCGCGAGCAGGAGCGAACCCGGCCTCACGAGGGCGCCCGCCCGCTGCGGGCCGTCTTCACTGCAGACGGGAAGCTGCTCAGCACCGGCTTCAGCAGGATGAGTGAGCGGCAACTCGCGCTCTGGGACCCGGTAGGCCAGGCCGAGCTGGGTGCACTCGCTCGCTCGCTCCTACTGTGGGTCGGCCAGGAGCGGAGGGCAGTGACCCGCGCCCAAGAGGCCGGAGCGGAGCGGGGGCTCCCATGTGGCAAAAGCCTCGTTGCCACCCCGAGGAGCCAGCAGACGTCGCCCGCTCTAGGATCAGACTTTGAGGGCGCTTTAAGGGATCGGGATCTTCTGAGAGCCAAGAGTCTAGGGCTCTCTCCCCGCCCAGACGTTCTCCAAACCAGGGGCCAGCCACTGGCCCCCGAGAAACTGTGTTCTTGGACCCCTTTATCTCTCCCCACCCTCCAACCCTACACCCAAGTCAGCAAACTAATTGCTCAGCCCTCCATGTTCCCCAGGCCAGGCAGCTGGGTGATGCCCCTTCTCCCCCCTCCCCCAGGAGAGGTTTGCAGCCCACGAGGGGATGAGGCCCATGCGGGCTGTCTTCACGCGCCAGGGCCATATCTTCACCACGGGATTCACCCGCATGAGCCAGCGAGAGCTGGGCCTGTGGGACCCGGTAACACAGCTGGAGGCTTGGGGTGTGTGCCCCGGGGACTGGCATCACGGGAGAGGGGCCAGGCGCCCCCCACCCGCAGGGCATGCCCACCTGGACAGGGCTGGAGGCCGCTGCCACGTCCGCAGCGCCTGCCATCCCCGCACCCACCCCTCTGCCCAGTTTTGCTGCGTCGCCTGAAGGAGCTCGCGCTGGCGGCCCCGCCTGGTGATGCCGAGTCCCTGGGGGTGGTTTGCGGTGACTGCATGCGACGACGCAGGGGGTGTATGTGCGAGGGAGGAGGAGTGATATGTGCAGGGGAAGAGCCTGTAGCTCCCAACAGAGCTGCCTTGGGAACGCATGGGATTTGGGCCGGGCAGGAAGCGTAAAAGGGATTCCGAAGTAGCACAGGAGGATGAGCAGGGCAGGTCATGCCTCCTGTGCTCGGACAGAACAACTTCGAAGAGCCAGTGGCACTGCAGGAGATGGACACGAGCAACGGAGTCCTACTGCCATTCTACGATCCCGACTCCAGCATCGTCTACCTGTGTGGCAAGGTGCTCGAGGCCGGGTGGAGAGAACGGGGTGTAGGGGGAGGGGCAGGATGGAGACGTGAGGCCCCAACCTGGGCGTTCCTCTGAACCGACTGGTTTTGCAGGGTGACAGCAGCATTCGGTACTTTGAAATTACGGATGAGCCACCTTACGTGCACTACCTGAACACATTTAGCAGCAAAGAACCGCAGCGGGGCATGGGTTTCATGCCCAAGCGGGGGCTGGATGTCAGCAAATGCGAGATTGCCCGGTCAGCAGCCTTGGCCCCTTCTGCGCGCCTGCCTCTCTGTCCCCTCCTTGTGTCAGGTCTTAACCTCCGCAGCTTCCCCAACAGTGCTTTGGAAAAGAAAAGGTCGAGGTGGGATCAAACAGGTCTTTTTCAGCCCCACTAGCCTGATATTCTCCGACACCCCATCAAATTTGTTTTACCCCAGAACTGATCATGTGTGTAAAATCCAATGTGCTCAGCAAGTAGTGGCCTCCAACCCCTTGGTCCCAGAAAAGAGACGTTAAGGGGGTGGGAGTCTTGTGGGGGTGCTGAACACCGTTCCCTTATAGGTTCTACAAGTTGCACGAACGGAAGTGTGAGCCCATTGTCATGACTGTGCCCCGCAAGGTGAGGACCGGGAGAGAGGTCGGGCAGGGCTCCGAGGCGGACTGGAGCGCAGCAGGCTAAGGCCCGGGCTCATGCGGGTCCAACCTGTCCACCTACCCCCGCAGTCAGACCTGTTCCAGGACGATCTGTACCCGGACACACCGGGCCCGGAGCCAGCCCTGGAAGCGGACGAATGGCTGTCGGGCCAGGACGCTGAACCTGTGCTCATTTCGCTGAAGGACGGCTACGTGCCCCCGAAACACCGCGAGCTCCGGGTCACCAAGCGCAACATTCTGGACGTGCGCCCGCCCTCAGGCCCCCGCCGCAGCCAGTCGGCCAGCGATGCCCCCTTGTCGGTAAGCTGTGGCTCCGAAGCATCCAAGCCCATCCGCACATCCGTCCCCACTCCCTCTGACACGGCCTCTCGGTTCCGTCCGCCCTAGCAGCAGCACACCCTGGAGACGCTGCTGGAGGAGATCAAGGCCCTTCGCGAGCGGGTGCAGGCCCAGGAGGAGCGCATCACGGCTTTGGAGAACATGCTGTGCGAACTGGTGGACGGCACTGACTAGCGCGGCCTGCGCGGCGGGGCCGTGCACCCAGCACGCGGGACGGGGCGGGGAGCACGGACTCCGCCCCGCCCCAGCCGTTGGTCTGGAACTCCTGAACCCGCTTCCCTGGGTTGGGGTCGGGGGGGCGGGACTGGGATGGAAACTCCGTTCCCCGCGGAAGTCCTGGACTAACAGAGCATAGGGGAGACCTGGGTCTGTCTGGCAGGGCCCAGGCTGTGTGCCTGGTCCCGGGCTTGACAGGAGAGGGCCTAGGCAGGCCCGAGATAACGCGGCCTCAGCAATGGTGCTGCATGGCGAGGTGGTGTCCCCTTTTGTCCTCGCCCAGCTCAGGGGAAGTGCTTAGTGTTAGCGCGATGCTTGGGGACGTTGGGGAGCTTGGACTTGACCTCAAAGGGATGACACTTCGACCGTCTCCCCACACTGGGGAAAATCACAACGGTTCTAATCAGCTCACTTGATTCTGCCACGCTGAGTGGTAAAGAAGACGGGCGGCACCCAGTTCTGCGGACCCATGCACATGCCTGGCTACACCCAGCAGTCTATGGCAGAGAGCTCTCTCCCTTTCCACCGCCAGAAAGGGCAGCTTCCTGGAAACAGCCCCGGCCCGATGAATCTCAGAACTGGCATGAGGAAGCAAATACACGCACACACAGCCCTCTTCGGTGGCCTTGACTGAGGAAAACAATGAATGAAATATTTTTGCTAAGTTTAAGTCTGTGCTTCCTGCATGGGTGACAGTGAGAGCCCCCAGCCTCTGCAAATCCTGGGGAACCTAGGAAATGCAACCCTGAGCTCAGGACCCACCAGGCAGCCTCTTATCCCAGAGCTGTCCACATACTACGACCCCCACTTCCCACCCAACAGGGGCATTCCTCCCCAGTAAAGTCAGGTAGGAAAAGTCTCCGGTTTGAAGTCTCTTTTATTGTGCCTCAGAATCAGTCTGGTGCCCCTGGCATCAGGGAAGGGAGTGGGAGGAACAATTTCTCTTTGTTGCTCTTTTCTTCTGTCCCCTTTTTGTGTCCCTTCTGAGCCTCGCTGGCTGGGCTGGGAAGGCCAGTCCTAGAGAGGCTATGGACAAGGGTGTGCAGTGGCCCCTGCCCCTGGCGGGTCTGTGCTTCTCTGGATGGGTGAGATGGGGCAAGGAGAGCCGGGGGTTAGCACCATTGGATGAAGGGTTTTAGAGTCAGCCCCCGGAGTGGGGGCAAGAGGGATGCACAACCACAGAGGGCTAGCAGCAGCTGGTGGGAAGGGGTGGGTAGTGGTGCCAGGGCCCTGGGCAACCCCTTTGTAGTCAGTTTTGTGTCGGGTCTAGTGCTTGCTCCCAGCCCAATATGCCCCACCACACACACACTCCAAGGCACCATGAGGAAGTCGGGCCTTGCTCAGGCCAGGGGGACACCTTGGATACACTCCCTGATCAGAAAAAAAAAAAAAAAAAAAAGTGCCTTGGGGACAGGGACTCCAACTTCTGGATGCCCAAGGAGAAGCTGGGACACCCTGAGACCCAGGACAGGTGTGGGGGTTGGGGGAGCCGGGCACCCCGCTAAGTGCACTTGACGCTGAAATGCCGGGATGGGGGAGGGGCTGGGCCTTTGACGTGCTGGTTTGTGTCTGGGACAAAGCAGCGACACAGCACGAGAGCTCAGCTGCCTCCCAAGGGTAGAGCAGAGATGCAAAGGCTTTCAGGGGCAGTGTCCTGGAGTGGGGTCAGTGAGCAGAAAGGAGAACCGGCCAGAAGGAGCCAGAGATGGGGACAATGCTCCTCCTAAGGATTGCCCCTTCAGGACCACCTACTCCGCCCTTAGATCAGAGCCTAGAGGAGCGGATTAGGGGTCAGGATACAGCAAAGCAGGGGGACCCGTCCGGCTGTGCCAGTTGCCTCCAGGGCCCTGGCCTGGAAAGTTACCCATGTCAAACCCCACCCTGTCTTGTGTCCGGTGCGCCGCTGCATCCCCGAGTAGATGGAACCAGAGTCGGCAGGTGCGTGGGCCGGGCCGTCTCTCTCGGGTCCGGGTCTGGTCGTGCGTGGAGACTGACGAGAGGCCCAGCAGGGGGCGCTACTGTTCGGTCAGCGAGAGCCGCAGAATGCGCTCCAGTTCCTCTTCCTCCTGGCGCGCGCGCCGCCGCCGCTCCTCCTGCTCCTGAGCCGACAGTTCCATGGCCAGCCGCAGCTGCTCGTCGTAACTCCGAAACACGTGGCCACTGGAGCCCCGGCCCTGGCTGGGCCGAGGACTGGGCACCCTCGCAGGGGGTGCGGGCTGCCGCTGCGGCGTGGGTGGGGCGCTCCTGGGGGCAGGGAGGATTTGTAGAGCGCTCCCTGTGCACCTGCTCTGCGCTAGGGCGGGAGACTGCGTGGAGGCCCTCGGCAGAGCAGTCCTGACACCCTCTAAGGGAGGCTCTGGGGCTGCCCTGGGCCCACCCAGTGGTGGCAGAGCCTGCCCGTGACATCCTGTCTGGTGAGGGTCTGAACACCCAGAGGCCTGGCTCCCTGCTCTCTGCCTGCCTTGGGAGCACTTGCCACTGAGCAGCACCAGGAAAGGGCAGTGGTAGGAGCCATCATCATGCCAGATGGGGGGTCCTCCTGAGGGCACTATGGCTCTAGGCCTAGCAGGGCTCTATGGTCTTCACCCAGTATGCTGGGGTACGAGGGGGTGTATCAGTACGCGTGCTGGGGATGGGGAAGTGCACAGGCGTCTCTAAGTCCTCTTCGGCCTAGCAGCCACTGACCTGTCCTGTTGGCGACCCTCATAGGACATTGGGTGGGTGCCTGGCTTGCTGTTGGTTAGCGCCTCCCAGATTGTGACCTGGAGGGAGGATCCTGTTAGTCGTGCATCCCTGCACTTGCAAGGCCCAGCGTGGCATCAGGGACACACCTGGTCATACTCACTGCCCGCCTCAAGCAGGCTCTGCTGGATGGCGAACTGCAACAAGTCGTCCTCATCCTCGCGGGTCACCGCTTCTCGCTGGCCGCCTAGCACGCTGTAGCCACGTGGAGCCTCGAACAATGCGGGGGAGATCTCGCAACCACGGCAGGAGGCTAGGAGTGCAGGGCTGAGGGTCAGGTACAGGTGGGCCCACCCCTGTCCCCCAGGGCACCCTAGGGTATTAAGGAGGGAAATCAAGTTGAGCTCTGAGGGGGCTTGGAGGGGAGTGAAGAGTCTCACTGGTAGAACTGGAGCTGCTGACACTGGAGGAGTCACTGCCTGGGGAAGGGGTCTCGCTGCTGGGGCTGCCTCGCACCGATGGCACCGGCTCATCACAGCCATTGAGGTTTCCAAAGGTGATGCGGGCATTGAGGATGTGGAAGATCGGGATTTCTGAGGATGAGGAAACCATCAGGTACCACCATCCACTCCCTCACACCTCAGGGCCACTGCCCTGACCTCATCTAAACCCCGTAACACCCTCCTCCTCTCCTACCCCCTCTCCCCCCAAAAAATAAAGAGCTGAGGGAAACAGTGGCGTGTGTGTGCGCGTGTGCATGTGTGTGCGTGTGTGGCAGTTGTTCTCACCAATCTTCACTGGGAAGCCAGGAGGCAGACGCAGAGTGATGAAGTCCCGGAGCTTGGCAAAAAGTGCATTACTGACAGCCATGAGGTCAATGATGGGGGCCACCTGCTCACACAGGGACAGGGGATGCTCCTCACACAGCCACAGCTTGGCCTTGAACCTGCCCCCCAGATTCCAACAGGTAAGGGATGCTGCAGGAAGCCATGGCCTCCCAGCACCTCTTGGAGCCCCAGTCCTGCCCACCCCTCCCGAGCAGGAGCAGGGAGCCTCACTTCTGTGTCTTGGTGGTCAGTTCCATGGGACGGCCCATGTCCCGGTTACCAAGTTCAAAGTTGGGGTTGAAGTATTCTTCTGCAGTGATGGCAGTGGGATTCGCTTGGCTCAGGGTCTGAGTGATCAGGGTCTGTACCACATGGAGAGAGGCCAGGAGCCATTCTCAGTCTCCGATGCCAGGCAGCCACTTGGAACCACAGGGTCTCCAACTCTCTCCACTGCCAGTGGAGCTGATGTGGCCTTGGTCATTGTGGAAAGGAGGTCCACATAGGCCATGCTAAGCAGGACACCTCCCAAGTCTCCTGAGCCACATCCCTGCCACTCTGCAGTGACATGCCTGGCACACACTCACCCCATTCTGGGGGCCCCCATGCTGCTCAGCAATTCCCAGGAAGGACTGCAGAGGCGTCTTACAGCCTAGAAGAAATATGGCAACTCAGGGGACACGTGGGCACATCATCAGAAGTGAGGCTTAGGGAGGAGGCTGATCACCCACACCACATCCTCAGGCACCTTCATCTAAGGGTAACTGAGGTCTCAAGGGGCAGGGCCCAGATCACTGCAAGCATAGCTGGAATAAAAGAAGGCTTAGGGCTCAGGAGAAACGTTCCAAAATACCACTCTCCAGGTTGGTGAACATTGGACAGTAAAACACCTGCGTGTGTTAAGCAAGTTTGGGGGTATGCATGTGTGTTTCCCTCCAGGTACATTAATGACTTCGTTTGTCCCCGTTAAGGTAGTAGTTAAGTGTTTCACCAGAGACAGGTTAAATGATGCCCAGAAAATCAGGTGTGTCACACATGGGCGGAGACTTAGTGGCAGGGTTCCCTGGCTTTCTATCCAGCTTATGTCTGACTAGAAGAGCAGATAAATGGCACGCATGACATTTCCCTGACATTAGTAATCGATTGTAGCATGCCTTTCCACAGAGCCCAAATGAGCCCTAGGGATCTTCTTAGCAGTAACCGTGGCAGGTGCAGAGCCTGTGAACTGAACTCTGTTTGCCTGAATAAGCCATACTGGGTCTTGCTGGGTTGCAAAAGGCCGATGGGGCACTGGAGTGGGAGCTGGTTCCTCCAGTTCTGCAGCATCTCTCCCTGGCCTCATTACCTTTGACCTTGCCCTTGTGCTGTTCCGAAAGATGCTCTGTCCGAGTCCGAGTGATAAGCTCCACATTAGATGCCCCATACACCTGGGAACAGAGAGGAAGGGGCTCAGAGACAGCTCTAGTACCTCCACCCAAGGGAATGGTCAACACTCCCTGCAAGAAAAGGCCCTGGAGGGGATCTTTGCTCCAGTTTCCAGGCCTTTCGGCAAGTAATTATATCAAGTCATTCATTCACTTATTCATTCAACAAACTTTTTTGCAGTGCTGGGGACTGAATCCAGAGCCTCTCACACATTAGGCAAGTGCTCAACCACTGAGCAACATCCTCAGCCTCACTCCACAAACATTTTTTTGAGATGCCTTTCCAAGCCATACTTTGAGGTGGGCATCAGGGGTCCAGTGGTGACCCTGCCCTCATAAGAGTCACGTTCTATTCGGAGACAAGACTATGGGATAATTGTAACTCAGTACGGTGAGGGTGCCACAGTGGCTTACCCCAGCATGGAGAGCCAGGGAAGGGTTCCAGGAGACACACATACAGAGCCTTGCAGCCTCTGTCAGTTCCTTCAATGGTCAGCGGAGCATGTGCTGGGCAGGGTGGGGTTCCTCAGTGACAGTCTTCTTGAGGGTAATGGCTGGCTTTAGAATCAAGCAGCCAGAGTCTGACCCCTACTTACAATGACTGCACAAGTTCACCGAACCACTCCAAGCCACCGTTTCCTCATCAGAAAAATGGACCAATGATCCCTGCTTGGTATAGTAGTAGAGACTAAATGGGAGGCCATGAAGTCTCACTATGCATTTGCAAGAGGGGGATACAGCATTGCTATGAGTGTGTATGCACAGAAATCCACACACCCGTAGGACGTATCGGAATGGTGCCTTGGGCAGGAATACAGTACGCACTCAGTGAATTCCTTCCCTTTCCTCCGTGCTGCTCTGAGCCTTCAAGGCTGGAGAAGGCTAGTCGGGAGCCCCCGTCCAGCTCACTGTAGCCAAATGTGTGGGCAGCTCCAGCCTCGGGAACTTCAGTCTCACCTTGGCTTCATATCCATTCACCATCTCTGTCTTCTCACTGCGCCAGCCCAGGATGCCGGTCTTGTTCCTGATGAGGTAAAGCAATCCAGGTGACATGGGCACCCACCAGGTTGGCTCCAGGCTGGCCAGGCCACGCCCACTCACCTCTCAAAGGAGATGTTCTTGGTGTCCAGCTGCGTGGTGACGACAGGCGCGGTGAGCCGGCTCAGCACCTGCTCCTCAGTGGGCTGGGCAGCAGCCAGCAGCAGCTCCCGGTCCTGCCCGGCCAGAGCCAGGGTCTCTGTGTACACCACCCGGCGGTCGTGGTCAATTTCCATGACCACGGCACTCGTGTCTGCCAGCCGTGGAACAGCACAGGGGGTCAGGGTGGCATGGGACTGTCTCCTGTCCTCCCTGCCCTGCCCCTCCTCCTGCCTGCCTGACCTTGGCCCCTGAAGACGAAGCTGCGGTTCCCTCGCTGCCATGTCATGTGGTCAAAGCCCAGGAGCGTGGTGTCTACCCTCAAGTTCTGCCCGCTCTTCCACACTTTGTAGGTGTCACTAGGGCAGATCTTGGACACCAAGGGCACTGGGTGGAAGTGGAGGTCAGAGGTGGCTTCAGTTTGCCTGGCCCACGCAGCCTGGCCAGCTCAGGACATAGGAATTGGGTCAGTGGTGTGGCCAGGAAAGGGCGAGGGAACTGATGGGAGAGCATCCCCTCAGATGTAAGCAGCCTGAGCTTTGTGACAGGCATGTCTCGGCCACTGTGTATGGTACCCACCATGTGCTAATTCATTCGCTCAACCTCCCATCCGTGCTTTCAACAAGTATTTATTGAGCAGCTACTAAATGCCAGGCATTATTCCAGTCCCAAGGAACACAACATCGAATAGGACAGGGCAGTAGAGCTTACCTCCTAGCAAGGGCTGACAGGCAGTAAACAAGCAAATCATTACAGAGTCAAAGACCAAATAGCAGAAGCAAGACAGTATCTGGGGCATATGGAAAGGCCCAGCTGAGGAGGCAGCATTGAGCCGAGGAGCTAAGAGATGAAAAGGAGCCCCATGAAGGGCAAATGGGACAGTGCTCGGGCAGGGAGATAGCAAGTATGAAAGCCCCCAGGTCAGAGAGGCCCTGTCCAACCCCTCTTACCCCAGCTTGTGAACTCCCACTTCATCTCCACGTAGAAGTCCTGGGCCTGGAGGATGACAAGGAGAGGGGTTGAGCCCACCCTAGAAACAGGGCGCAGGGCCCCAGTGGGAGGCAGGAGGCTGAGCCTCACCTTGCGTAGCTTCTCCAGGAGCACGGGGATGCCCGCCAGTCGCTTCACCACCCTCTGATAGTCCCGGTACCTCAGCACCAGCTGCACCAGCTCCAGGTCCCGGGTACTCACAGCCTCCTGCAGCACTGGGGGATGGGAGGCAATGTCACAGGGCAGGACCCTTCAGCCAACCCCAGATGAGTACCTGATGCTTTAGGGCACCATGGCTGTGGAGCTGGGGCAAGCAAAAGTGCTCACCTGTCCAGCCACTGCGATTCTCCCTGCCCACGTCTGCACCATGCGCCAGGAGCACACGAGCACACTCCAGGTGCCCCAGTGTGGTGGCCAGGTGCAGGGGAGTCCGACCACGGGGATCCAGCTGCTCGATGTCCACCTGGGGAAGGAGTTGAAGATGTAGCCCTGGTCACTTCTGAGGCAGCTGATATGAGCCTAACAGCTCCTAAGCAGGTGGCAACCCTCTGGCTGTGTTGCCTGGCTCACTTCACAAGGTCATGGGTGAGACTGGTGAATGGAGAGGGGCACTCTGGGAAAGGGTGTGCCTTCCTCCCTTCCTATTTACCTACACCCTCTGGCTGGTTCCCAACTCCAAGGCCCAGTGGACACACTGCAAAGATTAAGCCAGAGTCTGAAGGGTGGTCCAAAGAGGCTATTGGTCAAGGAGGGCACCTGAGGCTGGACCTATCTAGGGGTCCCAGACCACACCCTCAGGAAAGGCCCCCTTACATCATTACATTATCGCTGAGAAAGGCTGCATACCGGTGCAGGAATATACTGACAGCAACAAAGACACAACTTCAATTTTTGTTGCTGTGGTTTTTGACAGTACTAGGGTTTGAACTCAGGGCCTCACACTTGCTAGGCAGGAGCTCTACCTCTTGAGCCATGCCTCCAGCCCTATTGCATGATTTCAAGGCCATGTCCTATACCTGGGAGACATTATAGGTTAACGTTTTGCATAAAATCCTATTTTGTGAATAGCATGATATTTTTTATTTTTTAACATAATTATGCATGAGATGCTTGCTGTGTCATAAAAGCACATGTTTGTTAAGTGTGAGGTTTAAATACATCTCAGGAGTCTAGGAATTCTAGTTAAGTACAGTCAACTGACCATCTGCATGGAACTCCTCCTCTCCTTCTCAAAACTTGATTAAAATGCCAGTGAAAGGTTTCTCTTCCAAACAAGATAAGCTAACTGAAATTACACTCCCACCATAAACAATGAGATAACTACAACATATGAACTAGTTGTTTTCAGATATTAGGCAACAGATAATCTAAGACTAGGATTCCTGAGGTAAGGTAAACAAACGCGGTGGAGTCTATGCCCTCCCTGGATTTCTACCTGAAGGAAGATTCCAGACCATAATTCAGAGAGGGGAATCTCCAGTAGAGCTCAGTGGCCTCACTGAGTGGGGACAGAGACAGGAGTACAAGACGGCTGAGGTAGCTAGTTGCAAAGCAGAGTTCTAGAAAGGAGTGAGCCTTGCAAAACAAAACAAAAAATTGGGGGGTGGGGCTTCTTTGCACAGGGGTCCTTTAAAACTCAGTAAGACTGTGTGAAAAAGAACAATCAACTGATAAAAATTCTTGGGGCTCACCCAGGGCAGAGAAACATTCAAGCTGCCACCAGTTAAGAGTTAAGTCTTTGTTGATCACCCCACATATTCAGTGGAAACCCCAGAAGTGTTATGCCTTAGCAGTAGAGCTAAATAATCCCCAGAAAACAGGCTCACTTAGACCGACCCTAACAGATTAACACACCCACCCTCAAGAGGATCAAATTCATTTACAAGTAATTTTCTTAGTTTGCTAGAACAAAGCCTAACAGGCTTTAAAAGAAGGCAACAAAATCCAGATGCTTAATATCATAACATTTGTAATGTTCAACATCCAGTTAAAAATTACTAAATGTGGGGCCATGTGCAGTGGTTCACAGCTGCAATCCCAGCTACACAGGAGGGGCTGTAGGTAGGAGGATCGAGGTGTGAGGCTAGCTCCAGCAAAAAATGTGAGACCCTACCCAAAACATAACAAGCAAAAAGGGTTGGGAGCATGGCTCAAGTGGTAGAGTGCTTGAGTTCCCAAGTTAACCCCAGTACCACCACCACCCCAAAAAAAATTACTAGGCAGGTCATGAGATAGAAAAACATCACCCATAATCAGAGAAAAATCCATAACATGTAAGAGATGAGAAAGATGGTGGCTCAATATACTCAGGAGTTTAAAGAGAAATACGAGCAAGAAAAGAAATGAGAGAGAAAAAAGAGCCAATAAGCTGGACACCAGAGGCTCACACCTGTAATCCCAGCTACATGGGAGGCTGAAATTGGGAGGATGGAGGTTTGAGGCCAGCCCAGGCAAATCATTTGTGAGACCCCCATCTCCAAAATAACCACAGCAAAATGTACTGGTTCAAGCAGTAGAGTGTGTTTTGCAAATGTGAAGGCCTGAGTTCAAATCCCAGCCCCAGCAAAAAACAAACAGTATCAAAAAAACCAAAAACCCATAAAAAAGTATAATGTCTGAAATTAAAAAATTCACTTTATATAATTAGCAGCAGATTAGACACTTAAGAGAATTTTTTCTTTTCTTGGACAGGATCTCAGGCTGACCTCAAACTCAGGATCCTCCTGCCTCAGCCTCCAAAATGCTGGGATTAAAAGTGTGTACCACTGTGCCTGGCTCAACATTTGAGAACCTTTTTTTGTTTTTTTTTCTCGAAAAAGATCAGTGAATTTGACGACAGCATAGAACTATCCAGCTGAAGCACAGGCAGGGGGCTAGGGAAGTACCAAAAAAAAAAAAGGAAGAGCCTCAGTACCTTGTGAGACACTATGCACTATCCATTCTAACGTGTGTGACTGGAGTCTCAGGGGACAGGACAAGGGTGTAGGAGAAATAATGGTCAAATTTTTCCCAAATTTTTGGTTTGGTTTATTTTAGACGGGGTCTCACTTTGTATCCCCAGGCTAGTCTGGAACTCACCATCCTCCTGCATCTGCCTCCCAAGTGCTGGAATTACAAGTGTGTACCACCATGCCCTACTCATATTTTTTTTTCCAAATTTGCTTTAAAAAAAATTTACAGTGGGTTGAAGAGTAGTGCTCCCCCCACCCCCTACCACCCCCACCACTCCCCAGCCCCAGGACATGTCCTCATCACAGCCTAATCCTCAGAATCTGTGACTGTGACTGTTTTTGGGAAGAGTCTTTGTAGATGTAATTATGTTAAGGGTCTCAAGATGAGATCACCCTGGATTATCTTGGGTCCAGAATTCAATGACAAGTGTCTTTGTAAAACACACAGAGAGAAAGCCACAGAGGCAAAGACCAAAGTTACAAAGCAACAAGCCAAAAGAGGCCCATTGTCACCAGAAGCTGGAAGAGACAAAGAAGGAGTCTCCCCAATAGTCTTTGGAGGGAGGTCACCCTGGGCTTGGACTTCAGAGAGAATTATTTTTTGTTTTAACCCACTCTGTTTGTGGTAATTTGCTTGGAAACAAATACAATAATAAACCTACAGAACCAAAAAACTCTAATCTCAAGCAAGACAAACACAAAGAAAATTATACCAAGGCCCATCATGATCAAAGGCTAAAAACTACTGATAAAAAAGAAAATCTTTAAAGCATTCAAAAATATGAGTCCCTCTATGTAGAGAAGAACAGATACATACATTACATACATATTCTCATCAGAAACTATACAAGCCAGGAAAACAAAAATAAAAATGATATCTTTAAAGTGGCGGGAGAGAAATAAAAACCAAAAAGAAAAAGAAAAGAAAAGAAAAATCAACCTAGAATACTCTACCCAATGAAAATATTCTTCAAAAATGAAGGGGAAAATAAAGACTTTTGCAGACAAATAAAAGCTAAGATAATTTATTGCCAGAAGATGTGCTGGCAATATTAAAGGGGGTTCTTTTATCTTTTTTTTTTTTTTTTTTTTTTTGGTGGGACTGAGGTTTGAACTCAGATTCTCGCTTACAAAGCAGGTGCTTTATCACTTGAGCCATTCCTTCAGCCCATTTGCTCTGGTTATTTTGGACACAGCATCTCATGAACTATTTGCCCAAGCTGGCCTTGAACCAGCCTCCCAAGTAGGTAGGATTACAGGTGTGAACCACTAGCTTAAACCACTATCTTAAAGGGAGTTCTTCGGATGGAAAGACAATGATACCAGATGGAAACTTGGATCTACACAAAGGAAAGAATAATGCCAAAAATGTTAGATTTGCAAGTATAAGAATGTTCCTAAAATATTTAAAACCCACAAGAATAAAGAAAGGAGATGTCAGGGGATGAAAAATTGCAACACATCTTTAGAGTGTGGGAAGTGGCTGAGTCTTCACAACTGATATATGGGAGGGAGCAGAGGTCGCTAGAACCCAAAGCAATCACTGAGGGGAACCCCATTAGTAGCAAGCCAGGTCACCCCAAAACTCCTGAAAGTTGCAGGACCTATAGACAGTCAGGATAAGGTCTAGGGGTGAACATGGGAGTACTGCTTAAAACCCAGAACCCCTTGGACCCCTCCCCAATCTCATAAACTGAGAGGTGCCCCCTACTCACCACAGGACACAAGGGGTTTATTTTCTAGAAACTGGGCAAGATATATTGGGACTGAGGTACACTGGGCACAGCATATGACAAGGTCCTGGGGTTGAAAACTGGTGGCCAGTAAGACCCCAGCCCCTTCCCTGCCTTGGATTCTGAGCTACTGACAGCCAGACTACAACATGCCACCCACACTACCCAAGCAGGACATTGGAGAATTCCTCCTTGGAGAAACTAAACACATCTGGGGTCCCACAATGAGTGGGCCAGCTTCCATGCAGGATACTGGTGGATGCTACGGTAGCATCCATGCATGCATCAGTAGGCTCCATCCCCATCCTTAAATATGCCCCACTACCCAAGGGGACTGGACACTGGAGGAGAGCTTCTACCATGAAACCAACCCAAATGTACAGACAAATGCTAAAAACACTGGAAACTGTCAATGCAGGGAGTCAAAGAAACCTTTTTGAGGAAAATAGTAATTTCTGTCCACAGGAAAATATGAAAAGATCACTGACTTCACAAAGTGAGACCTCCTCACCTCCCAAGACTTCATCTGGTCTCCCCTGTCTTCACTCCCGAAGTGGCTTCTTCACCTTCCCTGGCTTTCCTCATTCACAGACTGCCGCCCCTGCTCTTCCCTCACAGTAAACAGTGCCTCAAGTCACTGTACTTTCATGTCAAAACACACACACAAACAGCTTTGTTTTTAATTTTGCTTTGTTTCAGTGCTGGGGATTGACTCCAAGGCCTTGCACAAGCACTACCACTGAGCCCAAGAAACAAGCCTCCAAGAAACACCTTTGGAA